GAAATGGTGAATATGGTGTACGTTTTGGGCGAAGCCCAAAGAAATGGTTTCCTAGAATCTCACCTTTATAAGCATCGGTACCCTAATATGTGACATCCAACGCCGGAAACATTTTCCACACTACGATAACGTTTTGAATCAAGTGGAGCAGTGGAATATAGTAAAAAATGTATTAAGAATCCAAGTGTCACCAATGAGGCGAATCAGTTGGAGGATCTATTAAAGTTGCAGGAAAATCCCCATTTAAGAACAAGAAAATTGTCAAATTTGGGACCATTTTTGTTTTTACTTAAAATGTCAAAATATATTTAAAATTTTCACAGAATTTTGAAAATTTAGCTTTAAGTTTAATGTTCTTAATAATAGCTGAGTGAAACCAAGGCGGGTATCGGTGACTGTAATTCTTATACAGAGTTATGTGCCTGTCAAAAATTTGGAAAATGTTGCCATAAAATACATCAACAATATAATTAACATCAGAAGAGCAGAATAAAACATCCCAGTCAAATTGAATTAGCTCTTGACAAAGTCAGCCTTTCTGTAGTTATAAGTTATTTTACTATGATTGAATGTAAACTTAGGCTCTTTAATGAATATGGCAGTCAAATCAACAGCTAGTGCCGGGTGGTGACTATCTTCTGGCACTAGAGGTAGTTCATCACGCTTAACAGTACAGGGTTATTTAGTAATTACCACGTCTAGCGACCGACCAAGTTGATTTAAGACATTATTTGACTGCTTATAATTAAAAATGTCCAAAAAATTATGGCTAATGCGTGTCTTAGGGTCTAGAATACAAAAATATACCCTATTTCACGAGTATCCATCACGGTAGATTGACAGCAGAATATCCTAGTAATATTTCAAAATTCCCCATATCGGCGAAGGACAGGATAATTCTGACGGATCCGTCAATGCCAGATAGACAGAGCCATATTTTGTTTTGCTTTTTAGTATGCTACAGATTCATTTTGCACTTGCTAAAAGCTCTTTTATTTAAAAAAAGGTTCATTTGCATACAAACACATTTTTGCTATATTCACACCCGGTTCATTATAGCTAACGTTGCAGACTAACACAAAACGTTACTTGCTGATCAGCTGTTCACCTCAGTAGACGTCAAGGCGTGATGGACATTCATGAAAGAGGGTGTATGAAAATCAAGGAGGTCCTAACGGCATGTAGGAACGACTGACGATACGGCCGTTAAGGTGGTCAGGACACCTGAATCGCATTAAGCAAGCAGACTAGCTACACGAGGTTGGGAAACAAAGGTCAAACAAAAGGACGAGGACGATCAAGAAAATTTTTTGTAATTTGATTTAAAAAAATTAGCACCGCCTTATCGCCCGGCAACCTCTTGACTAAGAGGCATCCAATAAATATGATTATGGAAAAAAAATCGAGTTGGAAAATTTCTTCCAGGAATGCAAGGTTTTCGCCTCATCTATATGCAATCTTGTCTTGGAGACATTAATCTCGTGTGTAGTTTTCTCGAAGTTTACTCCAAGTATTAAGACACAAATTTATCACTTTTTGTGCTTGCAGAATTGGGTGCTTTTAGAAAGGTTTACACTAAAAATATCACAATTCCAGTCATTTTTACCGGGATACAAATTCTCCTATAGCCATTTAGCGTGAATAGGTACCTTTACATTTACACTCTTTCCTGCGGGATTGGAACGCCCCGTTCCAATCACGCAAATTCTCGGGCGGCCAAGCGTGGCGCGTCCTAATACGAATTGTCTTAAATATTGCAAGGGCTTGTCGCACGGTTTGAGTGTGTGGCGTGGAACGGTAAAGGATAAAAGTGGCAATGTAAATCAAAAACTGGCAACTTTCGCGAGTGATATTCGTGGCATGTGGAATCTTGAAATTTTCAATAGTTTTCAAGGCGGTTTTTATTTTCATAATGGATAAAATAATTAAAAAACGGAAAATAAGAGCAGCTTTGTGCTTGGCTGTGTATCTAAATATTCCAAATAAGAGACAAAGAAAGTATTGGGTGAAAACATGGTTGGAAAATCGCAACAGATATGGACATTTGCCTCTGCTCGATGAGTTGCGTGATAATTTTCCACGGATTTTAGAAATTATTTCAGAATGGATTCTGATTGAAATGGAATTTGTTGGATTTGGTTTCTCCAATGATTTATAAACAAGGCACAAAATTGCGTGAAAGCATAAATGCCGAAGAAAGACTAACAATTACTCTAAGATACTTAGCTACATGTCGTTCGCTTGAAGATTTGAAATTTTCAAGTGGAATATTCACACCATCTTTATGTAAAATTATACCAGAGTCATGTAAAGCTATACGTATATGAAGTATTAAGAAAAACATATTTACTAATTTGTCGTAAGCAACATTTTTTAAATATCTTTTTGTATATTCTCGGGATTTGATTTTCCATAAGCATGGATAAGATTTATCTATTTCAAAAAACTCTGAAACAACTTCTTTCCACCAATAACGTGAATCTGCCATATTACCTACCAAACAATTAACATAATTAGAACTTTGTATGTGTATAATTATTAATAAAATAATTACCCACGCTAGAATACAACTTATGCACGATTGCCCGCGCAAAAGTAAAATGTAATCCAATGTTTTACCTGCACGAAAATCACTGTAAAAGTACTGGTGGTGACGAGCCCCACTTTTTCCTTCACGTCTCGTCACAAGCCAGTAGCCTGCTGGATCTCTTTCTGGCGACGCATCCTGTCCCTTACAGCACTGCTGTCCTGCCCTCCCCCGGGTAACTCAGACCAGGGTCCTGTGGAGGTTAAGTTTGGGTCAGAACCCGCTGTGGCAGCAGACACTCGCCCAGGCCGCAAAATTTAGCATTACGGACATGCTGACTGGGAGGGGCTCAGAGACTTCTCTATCTTTCCTTGGAGTGATATTTGTTTTGCTGACGCGGATGCGTAGGCTGTCTGTTCTTCGATAACCGAAATTATCCACATCGGGATGGAGGAATACATCCCTCATACAGTGAAAGAACCTACTTACAAAACCCCACTGTAGAGAACAGAAAAGCCGATGTCGAGCACGATATAAAAGTTAGGCACAGGGTATTGTCGCAGCTCAATGGCAGTCGGTCTTTCTGGACGCTGGCCAAGCAGATTGAAAAGAACTTCTCACACAGTAGCCGTCCACCACTTACGTGGCAGGATGGAACGATTGTATCCGACTTAAAGGCCAAGGCGGAAGTGCTTGCCAAGATCTTTGCTGTCAACACCACCATGGACGTCGCCGCCAACGACCAAGTGCTTCAATTCAAAGAGTTCGCTACACTATGCGTGAGGTAACATTCAGGCGTAACACGAGTACTCTTGTCGCTCGACATCAACAAAGCTTCTGGTCCGGACTCGATTCCTGCCATTGCTCTGAAGAGATGTGCAGCCGAGCTTGCTCCAGTTCTTTGTTGTCTCTTCGAGATATCTTATGAATCCCTTCCCAGAAAACTAGACATTTGCTTATGTCCAACCCATCCCAAAAAAAAGGATCTAAGACCGACCCTTATAACTACAGGCCTATAGCTCTGTTATAAGTAAGGTGATGGAGAAGTGCATAAGTAGCGAGCTTCTGGACTACTTCGAACGTCACGGCTTGATTAGCGACAGCCAGTATGGTTTCCGGCACCAGCGATCCACAGGGGATTTCATACCTTCGGCCACGAAAGCCTTAGCCTAAGGTCTAAACACCCATGGGGTACCGCTGTGCTATAGGGGGAAACAGGGGAAAGGGGGAGATGCCACACCTACTCTGGCGAGGGAACACGTTTGCATGCAACATGCCTACGACATCCGCCGGGCGGTACCTCCGTGTTTGACAGTCAGAGACCGTCTACCACCTACGGACAATCACAACATCCATAGCCAAGAGAAAAATTTATCTTGGGACGTGATTCGAACCCGCACAACGCACGGCGACTGATCAGGAGACCGAAGAGTCCACCACTGCGGCCATCGCTGCTCTTGCTATCAAGAATGCGTTCAATCAGCTGAGACACACTGACTTCTTATGCAAACTTCCATCCTATGGCCTCCCAGAAAAGCTTTGCAGATGGGTGGCTGACTTTATCTTTGGCCGCAAGATATCCGGCGTAATTGACGGGTTCTCCTCTTCATCCCACAACGTCAACGTAGGTGCTCCTCAGGGACCGGTCTTGGCTCCGACACTGTTCCACTTACATATCAACGACTTCCTTTCCTGCACGATCAACCCAATCCGCAGCTTCCCTGATGACAGCACTCTACATGCAGGAATTCAGAGTGACAAGCCGATCTCAGCCGCTGAGCTGGAAAAAGAAGATAGCGACGACTTCCTCTCTGACGAGAGACCTGGAGGCTATCACTACTTGGGGTCGCAACAATCTTGTACAGTTTAATGCTTCCAAAACAAAACGAACAAAAAGCGTGCTAGCACTCATCCGGTTTCGATGGATGGCCAAGTTCTGCCAAAGAGCCGTTCATTTCGGCTGGCCGGAGTCCAGATCAATAGCGGCAGCTGCTGGGAGAAAGCTAGGCTATTTGTTTAGGGCTAAGAAGTACTTTTCTTCGCATGACCTTCTCGCTCTATACAAGACCCAGATAAGGCATAGCCTCGAGTATTGCTCATACGTTTGGGGTGCTGCCGCCCCGACTACATTATTTATGCTCAATGCTGTCCAGAGGAGGGCTCTCCGACTGATCGATGACTCTTCTCTAACAGACAGAAGCTTTGGCCTCCCAACCTAACCGTGTCGAACTTCGTACATACAGAACTGGCCGATACGACTGCTACTTTGTCCTGAGGGTGTTGAGATTGTGGAACAATCTACAAGAGGAAGCTTTTCCCAGTTCTACTAACCTCAGGCAGTTCAAAAATCGGACTAACAAAATTACTTTGGGATCCTCATAGTAGCCGCGGTGTCCTTGCATTTGGGCTTCTGCCTGCGCGACTGCTTCAGTAAAAAAAAATTAGAATAAAATCATAAGTTTAATTTAAAAGTGTACATCCGAATATAGTTTAAAAGATAACAAAAATTGATTACATTTAATAAATATGTTTGACCTAATCTACATTTTTATAGGTAACCATAGTTTCCATCTTATGAATGCTTGTTGAGAAAGATCTCATTTTAACGTTCTGTGCATTTTTAACATTAGCAGGTTCGGACTTAGCCCATCCTGAGGGCATATTCACATCGTTAATGGTGTAAATGTGGATATCAAAACTACATAGACAATCCAGCAATGGTAAATAAGATATTGATGAAGCTATCTGCTTCAGGACATCCCGGATTTCATTTTTGATCTGCTTCAATGGTTTATCGGAGGTCTGATCTGGTCCTGCATTAATGTCTCCCTCATACTCAATGTTGAAGTCCCAACGTTCCATCACTTCTAGTGTTTTTACATTGGTGATGACTAAGGCAACCTTATTAACGGTTCTTTCTATCAACCAACCTAAAAAATATGATTACTAAGTAATATCAGGGAATGCATAACCTCATTTCGAAAACACAGACAAGACTATATTCAAAATTTTCTATTTCGATACACAATGAGTGGACGTAGTATACAATAGGGATGTTACGGACGTTCCATTCCGATTCCGAAAAGTTGGTACTCCGATTGTTTTTAAGCTTCCGATTTCGAATTCTGTTCTGAAACTCTTCAATCGGAGGTTATCCAAACAATTTTATCAAATATGTTATTGAGTAGTGATTATGATGATACAATTTTTTTTATACCGAAGCAGCCGCGCAGACAAGCCTAAATGCCGCATCTGCTATGAGGATCCCAAAGAAATTTTGGTTAATCCGATTTTTGAACTTCCTCTTGTAGATTGTTCTACAATCTCGACACCCTCGGGACAAAGGAGCGATCGTATCGGCCAGTTTTGGATGCACGAAATTCGACACGGTTAGGATGGGAGGCCAAAGTCAGGCGGGTCTGCCTGGTAGGCACATCGCGCATCGGCATCGTGGAGGAGAGTTTTGAGGAGCAAAGCCCGTTGGTGTAGCGGTAGAAAGAAATGATGTAACAGGGTTTTTTTTCAAGGGGATGGCTTCCACCAATTTGCAAAACTGCAACAAGATGCAACCAACTGGAGGAGAAAGGATGATGATTCTCTTCTGTTTCTATTGACGCTGAGGGTCAAAATCCCATAAAAAAAATGAAAGACGTAGCACCCAAACCAAAATGACCAAACTTAAGTTACACAAAAAAAAAGGGTGCTAGTCCATGAATTGGCGCTTGGGGCCTAATATCCCAGAGACCGGAAAATGACGAAACGACCCGTGCACCGTGACCTCAACGGAAACAGAAAAGCGAATCACGCCGAACACGTAACGTTCTAGAAGAAGGTATCTTGAGTGGCCTTGAAGAAGATATGTTTTTTAGGAAACCAACTAATGGAGAAAAACTACAGAGTTTTTTTGCTGATCGTCAACGCCATAGTGAATCACTGAGAAAGAAAGATATAATACGAGTGAAATTATACAATCAATGAACTATTAAATTTGCCACTCTATTATCAATGAAGAGAAATTCAAATTACTGATAAGTGAAGAATAGAAAAAAAAAGGTTACGTAATTTTGGCACGGTACAATGTTTTTTGGATGTTACAAGACATGCACGTCACTCATTTCCCTCGGTGTTTGACTGTCAGTCTATACAAGTCCGATGTATAATGTGATGGAGGACGTCTTTTCACTATAGCCCTACAATACAAGGTGGTCCAAAAATAAGATACTGCGTTACACTTTAAATTTTTAAATGGAAACCTCTATTTTTTTAATTTTTAGATTTTCCAGGAAGTTTTTAGTAAATTTTGTATAATAAAGTTTACGAGTATATCTATCTTCAATCGTTGTGAAGCTATTTGAGTTTATAATAAAATTCTAGAAATGATAATATGGGATTATATCGTAAAAATAATAATCAATATAGTTCCCATAGTGACAAGACTTTACTTTAAAATTAAAAACAAGTCTTCAGGTAATAAAAAAACAAAATACAACTTACAGTTTACACGCACATTGAAGATAAAGTAAAAATTAATTTGCTATAAAGAGGTAGATCAATTTGGTAATAAGTGCTAAAAGTAGTGTCCATTTGCCTCCATGCAATAATAAAGATTTTGATCGATCTATTCCTCACACTTTCAAGCATGTCTTGAGTTATTTGTCTACATTCAGCCGTAATCCGCTGACGAAGATCTTGATTGGGCCTCGTCTGGCGAACGACTAATTTGGGAACTGTCGTACTGGAGCCACATAGTGCGGCTGTGCACCATCTTGTTGTAAATGAATGTAATTTTCATTATACCTAACGTCATTTTCCATGATTTCGGTAATTCTTGGCTCTATTCTATCTCACGTCCGAGTACATCTCGCCCGTTAAGTTTTCAGGAATAAAGAAAGGTCCTACAATATGATTTCCGAACACGCCTGCCCACACATTTATTTTTTCACGATGTAGCGAGTGCACTTCTTGAAACAAATGTGGATTCGACTCACCCCAATATCGACAGTTATGTCTATTTACAGCACCATGTAAATAGAACGTACACTCATCCGAGAAACAAATATTAAATAATAGATACGCATTGTCGATTAAACGATGGGACATTCATTCGCAAAACTCTAACCTTCTACCCAAATCGTCTTCTTTAAGCTCATGGACTAGTTTTATCTTGTACGGGTGAAATTTATTATCATCTTTCAAAATTCCTTGTACTGTTGAGCATGTAAATCCTGAAGAACTATCTAGTCCACGAGTGCTTTGGGTGTTGTCAAGTGTTACGTGTCCCAAAATTGCTATTTCTGGCGCTCTAACTGGACGATTTTCTCGATGGCGATTACGGCACATATTACACATCATATAGTTTATTCAAATTTTCTTAGCAACTTGTCGATAATATTTTTGTCTGGATGTAACGCATTAAACAACCGGACTCTTGCAATGCTCCCATTTTGGTAATGCAGTTTTGTTATTTCTACCCTTTCTTGAGATGAATAAGTCATTGTTCAATATTTATCACAACTAGGTAGGTAACTTAACAATTTGAAATGTTTTTCTATTACATACGATGACACTGACTGATGCTAAATATTCTTGCTGGTATCCATGATTATTAACTTTTGCCGTGTATAAGTCGAATTTTATTATAAATTCACATAGCTTCACAACGATTGAAGATAGGTATAAACTTTATTATACAAAAGTTACTAAAAACTACATGGAAAATCTAAAAAATAAAAAAATGGGGGTTTCCATTTATAAATGTAAAGTGTAACGCAATATCTTATTTTTGGATCATCCTGTATTGTACGTCTTTAGATGAAAATACGCCCCCTAAAAATCAAAATTGCCTTGTCTGAGCATTTTCCTCAAAATATACCAGTAGAGTCACAAATGGGGTGCGACCTTTTAGTTGGGCCACCCTGTGTAACTTTGCAATCACTGGCGTTGCGCGCACGGCGCGTGATGTAGGCTACTGCTAACTGAGTAACAAACTCCAACTGGTTAATACCCAGAACGCGACGTAGGCAAAATAAATGCTTCACAACGCGAAATAAAAGCGCACTAAAACTTCATTCGCGTTGTGGGTGATAAAATGTATCCACAACGTGTTCTGGCCAATTCTCTTTACCCAGTGCTCGAGAAAACAATATCTGGTCGCATCGTGTGTAACTTACTATACCCATAACGCGATGTATGTAAAAAAATCGGGCAGTGGGCGATTTCGGCTGTTGCGAATAACATCGACACTGAATCATCGCTACAGGAGAAATATTTAACATATATATTTTTGCGATATTTGGATATTACTAGAACGTAACACTTTTTCTGCGACGGTTTTTTTCTGAATTATATGATTCTTGAATGTACCCATTTCGTCTAACATTTAACTTGTGTTACTGCGTCTATGAATGGTTCTCTGAATATATCGTCAAGTAGATTGACTCAGTACTTATGACGCTTTGATATACAACAGACACGGACTTGAGCGATGCAAATATCTTGCAACAGAGAACTTGTGGATCGAATTTCGAATATTAACGCGAGTTTAATACTGCTATCGTTTAGGTAGTCGTAGATTTTGAAGATTGATTCAGATGCGGCGGCAATAAAATCGCTGGAACATAGTGTTACATTGTTTCAGAGATTCCTGTCTATTTTCAGGCATTGTTTGGAAGGGATGAAAATTGTGGCTTGGATGCTGTATGCGGTAAATGGTGGTAAATTGTTGCATATTTGGTGTCAGTGAAAGGTTTTCTCTTACTAAGAAGCTGATGCATAATAAATAAGACACACATATTTTCCCTACATCTGCCATGGAAACAAAACTATGATAGATTTGCTTTATTTATATAGTTTGATATGCAGAGTTCAAATATTCATCGTACCCAAGTGAATCTACCTGGCCACGATAGGATTTCGCCTTTGAAACGATTTGACTCATGCCTTTTCTTTGAAACTCTAACGAAGTTGCAATTAAATAATTCATCAGCCTTCGCCTCTGATTCCGATTTCGGTTCCGATAAACCAAATTTAAAACCTCCAATTCTGACTTAGGTTCCGATATCATCACTTCCGTAATATCCCTAGTATACATCAACCGCTTTAATACACAAGTAGCTTATGTCCAAAAATTCCATATTACAGAAGTCTTTTCTTTCTCCTTGCTCTTCCTTTTTCTCTCCGAAAGTTGTCACAGGTACAAATAAAGCTGCTTTTGCTGGATAGTTATGTTATACCCTCAACCCTAAAAAAGCTCTCTCGATCATTTCTTCTAAAAACTATTGGAAAAACTACTAGGTTCCATGTTGAATGACCGCTACAAATGCTATCCGCCTACAATGATATAAAGGCATCATATCGAAAATTGCACATCAGTTGTACAAAGTCAGTCTAAAGGCCTATTCATACTCCGCCGTGACGTGACAGTGCTGTGACCAGCACGTGATCCGCCCGGCGAAACTAAAAACATTCTCCTGGAATTTGGATGAATTGATTCACACTAGACCGGCACGTGGAAGTGGCCGTGGTCTCAGTGCCCTCGACAACGCCGTACCGTGATCATCGCATTGTTTTGTAACGATATTTTTCGATTTTCTCGACCGTGTTTTCATGTAATTTCGTGAATATTTTGATATAATTGGTCAAAAACATGAATGATGAAAAACTAATTGAATTTGTATGCGTACATCTCGTGCTGTAGATCCAGTAATATTCAAAATACCAGGACTTCCGTTTTCTTCTCGTTTCTTCTTCATCTTTCGTAGGCGGTAGACGGTATCTGACTGTCGAACGCGGAGGTACCACCCGGCGGATCTCGTAGGCGGGGCCAGAATGTGTGCATGTTTCATGCACACGTGTTCCCTCGCGAGAGTCCGTGTGGCGTCCCCCCTTTTCCCTGTGTTTCCCCCTATAGCACCACGGTACCCCATGAGTGTTTAGGCCTTAGGCATTCGTCGTAGTTGGAGTATAAAAAAATAGAAATCCAGAATTAATGCAATAATTGCAAGTTCATCAAATACTAGGTCGAGCCAAAAGACATTTATTGCTGTTAAAAGTAAGTAAAAACTCGATCATTTGAGTTATAGCCGACTTCCTAAAAATTTGAGAAATCATTTAGGATAGTCCAAAGATCAAAAAGTTGCATAGAAAAATCTCCAACATCAAAAATTGAGAATCTGACATAGCCCCAAACTTTGCTAAAAAAATATGACTTCCTTTGCTCACCCTGTATAAGTGGATAAATAAAAGAAATATACCGATCGAACCCTGTACATGTTCTCAAAGAGTTTGTAAAGAACTTCCCGAATACCGCAACTCGATATCTCTTTCCGTTCCGATTTGAGATTTCCATGTTGCAAAGCAACTGTCCACCAGTTACACTTTTCCGCACATACTGTGCCTTTTAAGCAACACAGATCGAAAAAATTCAATCGTTTCTGATTTTTTGCGTTGGAATAAGCAAAACTCGCGCCAATGAACTTTCATTCTTCATATCGGTTGCGGTACTCGGGTCTTCTTGTTTATTCAAATGCAAGAAAGCAGAACCAGTTGTGATGGGTCACAGTGATGAAGTATTTTACCTTTAGCCAACCTCAAGCAGTTTTATATAGTAACAATATTAATGAAAAAAATATTATTTCCCAGCGTATATGAGCAGGGAGATCCTGTTGATTGAACGCTGTGCTACATAGAACTCGGTGCAGTACAATCGAAACATTTCAATGGCATGGATTGACTATCATAAGACGTTTGACACGACGCTTCATGAGTTCATCGTGCGTGTGTGGGAATGTCTTGCGGTAGATGATCAAATAGAGAGATGCATTAGACAACTGATGCTGCTCTGGAAGACTAGGTTCGCAATCATGTCTGGTGAAACCAAAGTTCGGCAGAGTTGGTATCATTCAGAGGTTCTTCCAAGGTACTCTCAGTCCCCTGCTCTTCTGCATCTCACTGCTTATGCCGTCTGTTACGCTAAGAAATGTGAGTAGATACAGCAGTGGCATGACCAGCAACCGGAGACACAAGGTCATCCACCTCTTTTATATAGATGAATAGACAAATGCGCCATGGTTCATCTAACGAAAGACGGTACGGTGTACGTAGAGAGCTGGACGGGAAGCATTCTGCATCATCTACATGCCAGAGAGATCTATACCTACCTTGGAGTGGCGCAGAGCCATATCCAGGTTAGCGTGGTCAAAGAGTATTTCCGCCGGAAGTGCCTGCATCCACTCAGGCATATCTGGTCATCAACGCTGCCTGGTAAGAACAAAGTCGCTGTGACAAATATGCTTGCGGTCCCATTGTTATTGTACACCTTCGGGGCCATCCATTGGACAATGGACGAGCTGCGAAAACTTCACACCAAAATCCGATAAAGGATGATCATGCATAGAAGTTTCCATCCTAAGTCCTCAGTTCCACGTATATACCTTCCAAGATATCAGGGAGGGCGAGCGTCTGCATGACAGGGTGGTACTGAGCACTGCCTGTGTCGTTCTGAGGAGTACCGATCCCCTCATCCGCTTTATGCGCGAGAATGCGGGTAAAGGAGTTTTTCTTTTTCGAGCAGCCGAGCAGTCCATTACCGAGCTGGCTCCTGCTCAACTGAAGAGCAACATAAAAAACTGTTGAAGAAAATTACTTATTAAGGCTTCATAGAGACAAGCCTATGCATGAAATCTTCTGCAGACACACAGAGGAGCATGGCTTGTCTAAGCAGTTGACCTTCTCATTTTTCAGGTCTAGTGGCTTAAAGTCTAAGACTGAGGGGCTTATTATAGCTTGCCAAGATGGTGTATTTAATACCTTGATATACCGTAGTAGGGTTATCGGCGCTAGAGACGCCTATGTATCTCTTGTCAGCGTATAAAGTAGGTATACGCTGGCAATTTTAACGTCTATCCACAACACAGCTCTGTGAGTGCTATACTACCATTTGAGGCATTCTTACGGTATAGATGAAACACCTGGGCTACCCTATGCTCCAGGAACATTGAGTCCGTTGTGAAGAACGAGAAACGCCGGATTTACTGGAATTACTCGTTCCCTACGGTCAAGCTGGTGCAGCCGAATAAGCGCGACACAGACCTTCTCGACCACGAACGGAAGGCGATGTTCGTTACGCAATTTTCGGCTCCGGTCGAAGTGAACGTCGTCTGGAATGAGCAGGAAAACTGGACCAAATATCAGGAGCTACCCAATCAGCTTCGTAGGCTCTGGCCAGACCACACTGTCAGTCTGCAAGTCATGTGCATTGAATCCTTGGGTAGGATAAGGCACACACTGTTATCTGCAATTAAATCCATACCGGTTTGCTGAGCATCGGCAAGCATCTTAGCCGGAATAAAGCAGAAAGCGGACAACCTCGGTTCCCTCCGTCTACATAGGGCACACGATTTTCGGACCAGCTAGTTGCTTACCTCACTATGTGAGGAGTGGATAGTTGTTAATATTAACAGCAGCTTGGTGTGTCGGAGCCCAGGTTGCCTATTTTACTTGTGGAGAATGCTGACCATAATTTGTCGGATGAAATTTAATCGCAAGCAGATTACAATTACGCAATAATTTACGGGGCACATTAAGTTTTATCAATGTTAACAAAGTTTGGGAATCAGTGAGCCACAATAAAACCTTGAAAGCTAAACAATCATCAAAGACCAAGCGCCTATACTTCAATGTAGGTAAATGCAAATGTTCTTACATGTCAGCTCTATGGTATTCAGTCATGTTTAAGTTCATCTTTAACGCTGCAAGACGTGGAAATTTATACTGTACACCCTCTAAATCATTTTTATTACACTGGTACTGAGGAGACCATACTACTGTAGCATATATATTCAAGATTTGATCTTACCAAGGAGCAGCATAAAATTCGGAAGGTACTGATTGAAAAATACACAATTTCTCCTGACAAAGCCCAGCATCCGCATGTCCTTTATACTAACTTTGAGAACATAGTCTGAAAAGTTAAGCCTTTCATCAAAAAGCACTCGAAGATCCCTAGCGGTAGCCTTATAAAAAAGTGTATCATTATTTGATTTATAACCTACTCCTACTTTTGAAGAAACTTAAGAAGAGGCATTTATTAGAATTCAGATACAAGTGATTAAGCTGTGTCCACTGCCAAAGCGCATCAAGGTCCCGCTGAAGGCCCACCATGTCATCTTTCTGCGTAATTGTCATGTAAATTTTCTGGTCATCAGCAAACATAATTCCGTTAGAATAAATTAGACCATTAGGGGGGGTCATTCACAAACAAAATGAAGAGGAGAGTAGCACAATGAGACCCCTGAGGAACCGCAGATGTAATCTTGAAGTCCGAAGTCAGAGGCCCACTGATTTTTACAGATTGAGTCCTACCCTTAAGGAATTTCTCTAATCATCTTATAGTGTTTTCTGAAAAACCATATGCCGACAGCTTTGCCAATAAAATGAAGAAGTTCACTGTGTCGAAGGCCTCAGAAAGGTCCGTGTAGATTGCATCCACCTGGTGACCCTTTTACAAGACCTCCAACAGAGCAACGTTTTCTGAAGAGTATATGGGAACAAGAGGTTATACCGTCAGAATGGAATGAAGCAATAGTGTCCCATTCACAAAAAGGGCGATAAATCAGACGGCCAGAACGACAGAGGCATACCGCTTCTCAATTTAACGTACAAGCTACTGACCATACACATCAAAAATCGGCTGGCAATACGCACTGAAGCAATTACTGGAGAGTACCAATGAGGATTCAGACAAGGACGCAGTACCACTGACAAGATGTTTAGGCTCCGAGAAATCCAAGCTGAGAGCTATGAATATGAAAAACCGACTCTGCTGCTCTTGACTGTCAAGCAGGCATTTGATCGAGTAAAAAGGAAAAAGTTATATCAAGCACTCCAAGAACAACATGTAAGCCCAAAACTGATTAATATGTTTGAAATATCAGAAAACGGGGTCAATATAAACACCAGATTTACAGAAAAGATTGAAGTCAAAGAAGGAATCCGTCAGGGAGATCCAGTCATCGCTGCTATTTAACATTGTGCTCGAAAAAACTATACAAGAAGCAAACATAAACAGGGCTGGTTTAGTATATTACAAAAATCATCAGTGCTACCATTTGCTGACGACCTAGTTATTATAGCCAGAAGTAAATTCGAACTTACAGACACCGTAAAGAGTCTAGAAGAAAAAGCACGAAGCAAAGGACTGTACATTAATGTAGAAAAGACAAAATACATGGAATGGGCAGATAAAGAACTTAATAAAGGACAGCACTGAATAATGACCACAAGAAAAGGAGAAATCTATAAGTATTTACATCACAGCCGAGCAACAAAGAGGAAATACAAAAAAGAATAATGGCCGGAAATCGTGCCATATATGCGCTAAAAGGACTAATGAAAAGCAAAATTATATTCAGAGGAGCTAAAATGAGGATCGACAAAACGCTGGTAAGGCCCGTGTTCATGTATTCATGTGAAACATGGGCGATAACAAAGGTAGAACAAGCAAAGCTTGATATATGGCAACGGAAGGTTTTCAGGAAAATTTTTGATGGCAAAATGTTAGATGAACGAAGAACAAATGATAAGTTGAAAGAACTGTTTAAAGGGCCCAACATAACAGAGGATGGCAGAACATAGAGTACCAAAGGCACTATTTACCCATTCAATAGGAGGGAAACAAAGGAGAAGCAGACCCAGGACGAGGTGGAAAACTGAGGTGAAATAAGACCTGAGAAAATTAAACCTAAAAGCTTGGGAAAGAAGAGCAATTGATAGAGAAGAATGACGAAAAATCACCAATCAAGACCTGCAGTGCTAGTTTATTATATATATATACACATTTAGAGGAACTTCTAGCAGTACGGACAATTCTTGTTGAAGAAACTCTAAGATTCGCCGTTTAATCTGAAGGGTAAAAAGAAAGGACCAATCAAATTGTCACCAACAATACCCATCCACACATTTAAAGAAAATTGTTTCTGGTGGCGACATTGTACGTAAGCATGAGGATTTTCGACACTCCATACATGAGGGTTATGGTAATTAACAATACCATCCCGGCGAAATCCTGCTTCGTCCGTAAAAAGTATGGTTTTATTAAACTTCTCATTATTAACCTTTTGGTAATACCATTGGCAAAACTGTAAACGAGGTAGGAAATCTCTAGGCGAGAACTTGCCACACAGTGCTCCTCGTCGAATTCCGGCGTTCTTTCGGACCTCGGTCGGCCTCTATCATTGATGGGAATGGCAAAACTTCCTGAATAACTTTATTGTCAAAAACATCACGAAAAAGAAAAAAGAAAATTTACCTCTTTCCGTTACGTGAATAATTCTTTTGTAGAAGAACTAACGCGCAAATGTCAAACCTCCATGCAGAAATGCTTTTTGGTTTTCCAGTCACTTGTGATTTTTTTAGCAAAAATTAATAAACCAATTTTGTCCAGTGACATGCAATAAAATGGTTATTTTTTTTTCTCGAAAACGAAAGTGAGATACGAAAAACACACAAGAGGCAAAGAAGTTGTATTTTTAGATGCTTAATCAAACAACAAATATTAAAATTACAAAAAGGCAGTGGAGTACATTTTTGCCAATAATATTCGCTAATAATTGTAATGTATTTAGTGTTAAATTAGCCTCTCAATACAACAAATAATACCGATAAATTTCAACAAAATCGAGTAAATATTTTTTAATATATTAATATTTGTTTTTTAAATTCATTACCCTGTATCTTGAAAGCTCTGCATTTCCGGACCCTTGTTTATTGAAACTTTTTTCATATCTTTATCAAGGAATCACCCGCTAAAATCTCTCCGTCTATTTTTCGAACACTCTGTAAAGGTGGAGAGTATCATATATGGTACGGGTTAATTCTTGTACTAATCCACTGAGGGCACTGAATCTCATCATAGTGTTATACAAGGTGACTTCGAAGTTGAGTCATTTATTTTAACAATGAGTAGATCTGATCAAAAGAAATGTTTTTTTCCTTTAACATTTTTCTGGTAAAATTAAAGTAACAAAGTTATAGCCCTTTAGAAGTTTGAGTACCGTCCTGTCTCAATAATAATATTATGTACTCGTGTTTGGGAACAACGGATATAATCCGCCTTATCCGTTCATCGCATCGGAAACAAAAAAGCGAAAAATACTGAATGTAGTACAAAGGGCTCGTGAATCAGGTGACTTAAGACCTCAAAGGGGAGGGTATGCCGGTGCTCCAAGACCACACGATCAAATACAGGTCCGCACTGAAATGCTTGTCGGGAGGATACTTTATAAAACAAGGTAACATTTTTTTTTAATTTTTTTTTATTTTTACACACTTATTTTGGTTTATCTTCCTTCTACAATCATTATCTGAAAATTAATGACTCAACTTCAAAGTCACCCTGTATAATAAATCGTATTCAAAGTATTATGAATACACGTTGCAGACTTGTAGATGATCTCAGAAAATATGATCATATATCGAAGGCCTAGGTGAAAAATGCAAAAAACACATTTTTCATGTTCAAGGGGTGAAATCCACCCCTTCGACGGGTCCGAAGAAATGACCAAGTAGCTACTAGTAAAACGCTATTCATTTATTTTTAGCTTGTAACTCTGTTTCTAACTAGGTGGGGGATATACAAAGCTGCCTATGTTCTGAGGGTGTAAACTACCCCTACGTCAGGTAGACAAAAAAAAAACAATAATCTGACTTCTACGCCCACATATAAATGATGCGGTTTATTCATTTTTATTATTCATCAATGGTGTTAGCTTTTTTGAAAAGCTGCATACCTCTTTCTAAATATTTTTGTACTAAGGGTGAAACTACCCTTTTTGAGCCGGTCTGTTGCTAAAATTAGCTAGAAATACGATGCAATCATTAAAAAGTCAGTAGTTGGTACCAAAAAAATAGCTACTGAAAATTGGCTGCTAACTTCACGGAAAAATTGGCTGTAAGAAACTGGCTATTAACTTCACACCGGTAAGAGACACAACGTAGACTTACAACATTGACTTAACTTTGAATCTCTATCTTTTATGACTTTCATCGCCTGGACTATTTTTATAGTTGTACAAGTCAATTTTCGACATGATGTCTTTATCGTAGGCGAATAAAATTTGCAGGGTTGATCCATCATACAATCTAGAATATTACAGTATCAGATTTTAGGTTGGGTAATTTGTTGGCAGCCCTGGAGAGTAGAGGAGATAACATAATTAGTAAAGGTTGAAGTATTAGTTTTTATTCGGAGATTTATGGCGTTTGTCCTCAAATCCGCATAGTTGTCAGAAAAAACACACCCGTAGTACCGGTCGTTTGGCTGCATTTGCAAAGCTAAGTTCGAAATCGGATTTTTTATAAAATTTCACAAGTGGAAAAATCTTCTGGCGTAGAATTTCGGATAACACATATAGTGGTTAATCCGATAGGTATTGAGCTTATCTATAACTTTCGTCGATCCATCCATAACAATACAGCTTGTACATAAATCCAGCACCATCATCAACTCAATTTGTTTAAGAGTGAGAGTGAAAACATGGATATGGGCCATTAAATAATGTGGAATTCGAATCGTATATTCTTACCTTTAAGCTGGCCTAACGTAGTTGACAAAAATTCCTTGATTTTGTTATCAGTAGACATCCACATATTTAATCCATAATTTTCATCAGCTGTGAAACTTTCTGGTGGATACAAGCCTCTTTGGAATAGTATTGAATTAACTCCATAATCTGAAAGGATTTTGTATTTCAGATGCATAAATACCTTGTTAAATATTATGATACAGTAACATAAAATGCACATCAACATTGACACTTTTTCTTCTCTACAAGGTAACCTAATTAGAATTCCAATATGATATTTCGTCTTTTGCACTCAATCATCAGCTTCAGTCTTTCTGATGGACGCCATGTTGGATTTTTGTTCAGGCGAGTAAAGCTTAAATGTCTGCTTTCAAAAATGTATACATTACATTGCCAAATCTTAGTTACTCCAAAAAACTAATATTTTCATAAACGGCATTGAAAATGACAGCTTATCACAAGTTTATTAGATTACATCAATAGTTAAAGATTGCTTTAGTTTTTGAAAAACGTAATGTCTGAACAACTGAACCTCCCTACGTGGATGCTCAGCCGTAGAATATTATTATTCAAATGCAACATATGTACATCGGTTTAGATATAACGGTTGTGAAATGCGCTTAGCAGCCTGCAACATTGACGAAGCTTTTACTTACATTCGAAAACGTTTCTGTCGGTTTCTTAAAACTATACCGTTGACAATGTTTAAATGAAGAGTATTGCTATTTAAACATTTGAAGTTATATATCAGTCCATATCACAATATGTACTGAAAGTTTTTTGTGCCCAGTTATAATCGGTGATGAACAAAAAATAAATCACATCTCTAGTGAGTTCCGTTCCATCTACTATCCTCACTAGTAAGTTTGGTAGATATACAGGGTGTTCGAAAAATAGACGGAGATATTTTAGACGGTGATTCCTTGTTAAAAAACATGAAACAAGTTTCTATAAACATGGATCCGTAAATGCAGAGTTTTAAAGATACAAGGTTGTACATTTTTTTTATCTGAATCTTAAAATTTACTCGATTCTGTTGAAATTTGGCAATCCTATTTGTTGTATTAGGAGGCTAATTTAGCCCTAAATAGATTGAAATTATTAGGTCCAATGGCGTCCCGGGGGACACGTTAGCGAATGTTACTGGCCAAAAAATGTACGCCATTGCCTTTTTTGTAACTATAATATTTGTTGTTTGATTAAGCATCTAAAAATACAACTTCCTTTGCCTTTTGTATTTTTTTCGTACCTAACTTCGTTTTCGCATGTCACTGGACAAAATTGGTTTATTAATTTTTGCTAAAAAAATCACAAGTGCCTGGGAAAACAAAAAATCAAAAAAATTTCTATGAAAGAGTGTTATTACAACTTTTCCAGTAGGTACCATGACATAAAGTGTACTACAACAAATGTTGGAAATATTCACCATCTATTTCCGTACAGCTTCTCACTCGACGAATCATTGAACGATGAAATCGACCTAAGATTCGAGGTCTATTTCTTATTTCTTCGCAAACAATTACGATTTTATTTCTTAATTCTTCTACTGTTTCTATGAGAGTAGCGTGAAATCATCGTCTTAAGGTGTCCCCATAAATAAAAATCTATTGGATTTAAGCCAGGGGAGCGAGGTGGCCAGTAAATTGCTCCACCTCTTCCAACCCAATTTTCACCAAAGGTGAGTTCTGACATGTATACTAAAATGAGGAGGAGCTCCATCGTGCATAAAAGTTATTTGGTTACGTACATTTCGGGGAAGTTCTTCTAGAAGTACGGGTAATTCTTGTTGGAGAACCCCTTTCCCCTGTATCCCCCTATAGCCCCACGGTACCCAATGGGTGTTTAGGCCTTATGCCTTCGTGGTAGTTGGAGTATAAAAAAACCTCTATGTAAGATTCGCCGTTTAATCTTAAGGGTAAATTAAATTGTCACCAACAATACCCATCCACACATTTAGAGAAAATTGTTCCTCTTGTCGACATTGTACGTAAGCATGAGGATTTTCGTCACTCCATACATGAGTGTTATGGTAACTGACAATACTGTAGCGTTTTTCTGGGTTATTTTTGGGTGTGGATTAAAACACTGGATTCCACAAAAAGAAATGCACTAATTTATTTAACTTGATTAAACATTTATATGCACTATTTATGTCTGACTAATTCTTATGTCACCATTGACTGCACTATACTTCTCTTCGCTCTGCTACTCCACCATATTCCGTACTCTGCCTCCATCTGCCGGCCGCCGAGTTATATATAGTCCCAATTACCCCTTCGAGAAAAAACCGGGTGTACCACAGGGCGACATCTAGAATGTTGAGAGATCACTTCGAGTCGATCTAGAAGGCGATCCACTGTCACGGTCCTCACAATCCACACTCTTTCCAGGAGGTAGCCGTCTAGGATTGTGACAACATACCAGAAATCGAATGCCTGTATACCTAAAGACTACCTCAAGCATGCTTCGAATGATTCTCCATCCAATGTACAATTCAGGCTTTACCGCGTTTTGCCTTCTGAACCCTGTTGAGAGCATCGTTAATGGCCTCCAGAACTTTATATGGCCCGTCCCAGGATGATTGAAGTTTAGGCGACAGCCCTTTGCGCCTCTTTGGGTCGTAAATCCAAACCGTATCACCGTTGTCGTACCTCTGGTCTTTGGCATTAACGTCATAAGCTTATTTCATCCGGTCGCTGGCACCTTGAATTGAAACACGAACCTGTCTATGAATGGCGTAAATTCTTCTACGCAGCTCACTTACGTAGTCTTTTCCGGCAATGTCAGTCCCTGGTGGACAGCCAAACTTTAGATCGCATGGGAGTCGAAGTTCTCTCCCCATAACTATTCTAGCAGGGGTCTCTCGTGTGCTTTCATGAATCGACGATCGGTAAGCCAATAAGAAGAGGTGAAGAAAACTATCCCAGTCTCTTTGAGCGCTTGAGACTACCTTAGCCAGATACCGGTTAATTGTCCTATTCATGCGCTCCACCATTCCATCTGACTTTGGGTGCAAGGCTCTCTTCTTAATCCCAAGAATTTGACAGATACTTTGGAACAGATCTGACTCAAAATTGCGCCCTTGGTCCGAATACAATTCTAAAGGTACCCCAAATCGACAGATCCATTCCTTGACTAAAGCGTCGGCTACCATAGAGGCTTCCTGATTTGGCAGAGCGTATGCCTCAACCCACTTGCTGAACTAATCAATTATCACAATGATGTAATTATTCCCTGCTTTACTTTCTGGAAAGGGTCCCGCCAGATCAATAGTCATCCTTTCAAAGGGGCTCCCCACGTTGTATTGGCGCATCGGAGCTTTTGGTTTCCTTTGCGGTCCATTACTTGCCGCACACACAACGCATTTCCTGCACCAGTCTTTCACGTCCTCCTTGCTATTGACCCAGTAAAATCTTTCCCTCACTTTTCCCAGGGTTTTTGTAACTCCGAGATGACCTCCTGACACACCGGAATGGATTTCTTCTAGCAGCTCCGGGATCCGACATCTGGGGATAACGATTTGCCTTCTTTCCTCTTTGCCGGCGTGGTCCACCATTTTACGCAGTAAGAGTCCGTCGTCCATAACGAGAGAATTCCATTGTGCCCAAAATGATTTTATGGTAGGGGAAAACTTGGCAACTTCTTCCCAGACTGGTTTCCGTTGTTCTTTCATCCAGTTTAGAATTATTTGGTGATCGGGGTCGCCCTCTTGATCTTTAATGAGGCCTTTATTTTGCCAAGTATCACTAACGATAGTGGTTCTTAATACTTGGGCGACTTTCTCCTCTGCGCGCTGGCAATGCTTACAATCCTCTAAACAGAGTCTCCTCGATAAGGCACCTGCATTTCCATGGATTTTTCCCGCTCGATGTTCGATGTCGAAGTCAACCTCTTGCAGCCTCTCTATCCATCTTGCAACTTGACCCTCTGGATTCTTAAACAGGAGAAGCCATTTTAAAGCTGCGTGATCGGTCCGGAGTAAGAATTTTCTGCCATAGAGGTATTTGTAGAAATGTTCCATTGCCTTTACGACGGCCAGCAGTTCCCTCCGGGTAACGTAATAGTTACGCTCTGGTTTGGAGAGAGTTTTGCTAAAATATCCAATGACCTCTTCTTTGCCTTCCTGGACTTGGGATAATACAGCACCTATACCCACATTGCTGGCATCAGTGTCTAACACAAACTTTCCTTCTGGCAGTGGATAGCTGAGTATAGGGGCGCTTGTTAAAGCTTCTTTCAAGTGGGTAAAAGCTTGTTGGCAATCCTGATCCTATTGGAATTTGCGTTCCCCTTCTGTCAGCCAACAAATTAAAATGTCGTTTAATTGGGACGACGAAGCTGTGCTGCTCTTAATTGAAAAATTTCATGAAAATGATATATTATGGAATCCCAGAAATGCAGCACTTCACTAGCTTTCTATGTGACTGTCACAACCGGAATGATGCTTGACGGCTTTGCGCGGCTTGTGCCGGCGGCTTGTATTGCCGGCGGCATAGCCGCTCGGCATAAACCCGGCGGCATTGACACCGGCACTGTGTGTAGCAGCTTTTAGAATCGTGTGCATCAGCCTTTCAAAGGTGGCAGGAGCATTGCACAAGCCGAATGGCATCACATTAAACTGCCCACCGTGAATGCTGTCTTCTCTCGATCTTCAGGGGCCAATTCTACTTGCCAGTATCCACTTTTTAGGTCTAGGGTGGAAAATATTTTTGATCCAGCCAAGGTATGCAGAGTGTCATCAATACGCGGTAGAGGGTAGCTGTCACGTTGTTTAACAATCGGTAGTCCACACAAAATCTGGTTGAACCATCTTTCTTTTTAACCAAAACTACCGGTGAGGCCCATGGACTGTTGGATGGTTCTTGTGCTGGACTATATTGGTTCTTCCTTTTTGCCCAGTATCGAATACATCCCGATATCTATGTATTAGATGTTTCAGTTTCTTCCTTTGGTCTGGTCTTATGTCTCTGCCTGATGACGACATCAATTCTTCCAGTTCCTTAGGAATGACCCCTGAGTTTTCCACAGCTGGCATATTTCGAATGATTGCAGAAACTGGACAGCAGTGTCCCAGCTCCTAGCCCTTCTTCAAGGACACAGAGTGTTGACTGACTTTCATTAGTCTCACAGGAATAGTTTTATCGGCACGCACAAGTGCCTTTGCAACAGCTATCCCTCGGCCAATAGCCTCGTCATGGATCCTAGGTTCAATCACACGATCTAGGTAGCCATTCAACAGAATCATTTTTCGATATAACACGTTCACCGAATTTTGATTTCAATATGTCGATTGTTTCACCCGCTGCGCTGTGTGGCTTGTGGCACCGTCTTGTTGAAACCACATATCATTAATGTCTAGCCCATGCAATTGACCAAAAAAATAACGTTGCAACATGTCTCTGAAGCAATCTCATGAAAACCACACCATAGTTATTTTTTGTGAATGAAGTGGTGTTGCTTGAAGTACATGAGGGTTTTCATGTGATCAATACCGCATATTCTGTTTGTTGTCGAAGACGTTTAGTCAAAAATGCGCCTCATCACTGAAGATGATTTTGCGATGAAATTGGTCATTTTCTTGCAACATTTCTAGAGCCCAATTCGAGAACGTACGTCGGTTCGTATGACCGAACGGCTTTAGTTCTTGAGTTAACTTGACCTTATAAGGGTGCAGAACAAGATCTCTTCGCAAAATTCGCCATAGTGTGGTCTGAGCGGTGCCCAATTTTTGAGAACGCCGTGGAATCGACTTGTTATGTTCGACGGAAGCTTGAACGGCAGCAATAATCTCGGCACTTCGACCAACTGGCACGGGAACGTCCAGCAGCGAATATGTGGACTCAAATTTTTTTATTAGACTAGGAATTGCTTGTCTACTGGGACGAGAAATACGACCAAAAATTGGTGTTCACGCTCTTAAAGTTGCAGTCACCGATTTTAATTATTTGTAAGCGTTGTTCGTTTTCTTTACTGAATGTTTTGGCATTGCCAGTTCGGTAATTGATTTAAAGGTGCGTTCATAGTGAAATCAAAGTGGTCAAGTCCCTAATGGAAAACCGGCACGGGTATCACGTATCTTGAAAAGTGATATTATGCCGATTTTTTTTTGACATTATGCTGTTTTTTTTGACATTATGTAGGTTTTTCGCCAAGACGTTGACTTAGCACTTAGTTGTACATGTTGCTTAAACGTCATGAGGCTTGTTATCAATCTTTGGCTCTGGTGTGATGTAAAATCTGCTTCTGAGATGGCATTACTGGAGGTTTAAGCTGTAAGTTATATGTGTTGATGATAATTACATTGGGTTCTTGTCTCAAATACACTTAATTGAGATTCAAAGCTAGAACTTAGTTGCGCATCGACTTTTTCTTATCCATTCTGGAAATTACATACACAAATTTGCTGAATTTCAAAAATGAGAGAGATAAGAAATAATTATATTCACTGTACACTGTCGAATTACAAGTCATATACACGCTAACAGTAATTACACACAATGCGGGCGCGGCGATCATTTCCCGTAATTCTCCTCAGTTTTTCGTAATTTATAACTTTGAACATAACCTTCAGAAAGCACAACATATAAATAACCCGTCATATTCAGAATATTCAGTAATGATTTTCTCACACAGCAAATATCACAGATTTTATACACATGCAGACCAATACACATAATTACCCAGATGCGATCTTGTTATTCAACCAACTTCCTTTTCAGATATAAAAACTACAGACAGGGATCACTCAGCCTCACAAAACTATGCAACCAATAATGCGTGTTTTAGTTGAGTGATTCCTTCATAGATGGACGTTCACAACGATCCTAGTGAGCAAACGTGCAATGACTGTTTGCGCCCTAAAAACTACCTAGTCTGCAAGTTAACATCTTATAAGTTTTTTTTGACGTTTTGTATGTATTTTACTTGATACCCGTGCCGATATATTTTATCGACGGACGTTAAAAAGCCATAAAAAACGAGAAGACAGCTTCTCTGTACATCATATGGACACACCTGCTAGCTTGGATGGTGCGGACCACGGAAATGAAGTAAAGGTTAGCAGCTTCGAGTCGCTTAATTTATAGCACAGTTAAATTATGTAAATTCCTTGCCAAACCCGTATCGAAACAACGCGACTTATTTTAGATTCGCTATATTCAATGCAATTATATGGAACTATTAGTGTTTTTTATATTATTGCACATTGTTCAAATGTATAATTTATACATATAAACCAGTTTTCATACATATATTCATATAATGACCATACTATACGCATGCACGTACCATACAAGGTGGCCCAACGAAAAGGTCGCACCCCCATTTGTGACTCGCCTGGTATATTTTGAGGAAAACGCTCAGACCCGTCAATTTTGATTTCTAGGGGGACGTCTTTTTATCTGTAGCCGTACAATACAGGGTGATCCAAAAATAAAATAATGCGTTACACTTTCGATTTTTAAATGGAAACCCACATTTTTTAATTTAGATAAAACTTCAGCCTAACCCATAACTGGTGAGGTTGAGTCTGTCAGACTCCGGCTGATATTTTTTCGCTATAATTACTTCTTATATCAAGTGACAACAACCTACGCCTATTTATCTTTAGTTTGGATATGTGAGTCCTGTTTGCCTCGGTGGTTGCAGATCCTCATGGAACATGTGTATGTGTGCTTGTGTTTTTATACCTCAGGAAGTCTCACGGACCCCACCTCACTCTTATCGTAAGTTTTTGTGGTTGTTAATTTTAATGTTTGTTTTCACATATAAGATATTTTAGAAGGAATTACGAGCCAGTAATTCAAAAGAGACTGTTACAATAAACGGTAAAGACTATGAGAGTACGCTCACGATGCTATAGCAGTGATATTGTGAAAGCGACAGCGAGCAATCTCCGGATGATGACGAACAATTTGTGCTCGATGATGATATAACGCAGAAGTCGTTTTCAAGTGAAAATAGCTTTAACGAATCGACAACAGAAAGAAGAAACTTTTATGAAAAAAACATAAATGGTCCTCTATGGAATCAAAAAGAAATCTGTATAGCCAGTCATAATATAATTCTTACGCTACTTGGTCTCAAAGACGAAACTCTAAATTTAGGACATGAAGCAAATCCAGTTGAAATTTTGAGCACTTTTTTCATTGAAAAAATAACAGCCATTATCTACGAACAAAAAATTGGAACCAATGCGTCAAAAATACAGCGGCCCAACGCAAGTGGATTTGAAGAATGCTAACGATAATCATCAAATTTGATGTTTATAATAAAATTTATAATAAACCAAACATAAATACATATTATGAATAGACTACAGACTATCGCATAAAATTGAAATAAAACGGATACTAATACGTATTCTACAAAAATACTCGGGAGTCCGAGACTCCACATCACACTCATCGTGACAAAAGTGGCACCTCACCGGTTACGGGTTAATGAAGACGATTTTGATAGAAGGTTGGAGTTTTGCGAATTAATGTCCCAACGTTTAAACAACAATGCAAATCTGTTATTTATATTATTTTCTCGGATGAGTGTACGTTCTATTTACATGGTGCTGTAAATAGAAATAATTTTCGATATTGGAGTGACTCGAATCTATATTTGTTTCGAGAGGTACACTGAAAAATAAATTTGACAAGGAGAGTTCAGAAACGGGAAGTTCCGGACTTGGTTTGGGAAAAAGACTAGTAGGTTGTGATTGAGTAGGTTATTTATGCCAGAAGTGCAAAAGAACTTTTTGATCTTCGGCCATTTTGATGAATAATAGGCTATTTTTGAAATTCAGTATATAAACAACAGGGGGAGGGGCAGAAACGGGGAGTTTTGGACTTGGTTTGTGAAAACAGCTGATATAATACCTAATATTTTAGCTCCATTACGAGGGATGTCTTTTAAGTTTTGCATATAGAAACATAGTAGGCCGCGCGGATCGAACGTCAGTACTGAATCTTAACCTCACTCTTTAGTAAACTTACATTCAAAGTTTCACAACAAAACGTGCAATGTTCTCACTACAGTGAATTTTTAAGTGTCACCAAGTCATTAGAAAAATGGAACTCAACCGAGAACATTTTCGCGCCATAATGTATTACAACTTTCAGAGACAATTATCGCAACAAGAATTCCTTGCCGAGTTACTGTCTGTTTTCGGCAACGAAGAGACACATCAGTCGACAATTTCCCGTTGGTATGGAGAATTCAAACGTGGACGGATGAGTCTTAAGCTGGCTACAGACACAACCGCAAGCTTGTCCAGCATGCTCATTCAAGCTTTTTGTACAAGTATGCTCAAATCGCCTTCGGCACCACACGTACAAGTATGCTTGATAAAAGGAGAGGTAGTTTAATGAAATATGTCGAGCTCGGACGACGATGCGCTCGCTTTGATCGCTTTTGTTCTTGTAAAGAAAAAAAATCCAAAATGAAAAAGCGTGCGGTGTGGTGTAAAGAATGGTTGATGAAAAGGAAAACCTATTCTCACATTAACTTACTAAGTGAGCTGAAAATATATCCGCGTGACTGGCACAATTATCTTAGAATGGACGAAGAGACCTATTTGAACCTTTTGTCTCTTGTATCACCTTTGATTCAAAAGCAGGATACGATCATGAGAGAAGCCATAACACCACATGAAAGATTAACGGCAACATTGCGATTTCTTGCAACCGGGAGGAGTTATGAAGACCTGAAGTATTCAACTATTATTTCACCACAAGCATTAAGTTATATAGTTCCTGAAACCTGCCATGTCATTTACAAGGTGTTAAGAAGCAGGTATTTGAAGGTGAGTAATAGGACTATTTAAACTCAGTTATTTATTATTTTTTTGACGAAAAGATTTACAAAAAGTAGGTGCATGTGTATAATAAACTATTACAAAATAACATTAAGCATCGCTAAAATTTGAAATATAGGACGCGATAGAATGATTGGAATTATCATTGGGGGTTACTGGAGAAAGAGTTTCATAATGTGCCTGAGATTGAGGAAAAGTTGAGGGCAAATGGGAGTAATTGGTATTTAATTATTGAGGTGAAGGACAATCTGTAGAATATGTATTGTTAGTTTCACCACAAATACGATGGGACGGAGTCAACTGACCCATTTCTGCCATGAATAATGTATCGTTAATCATTTTTTCTGCCAACAATCTCTGAATATTGTTTGTTATGTCTCTCATTTTCAGAGCGACGTTTTTCCCAAAAATGTCATGTCTATTTTCTTTTAACTTAGGTTTTTTAAAGTGGCCTTCAATTGCGTCCAACACAGAATCACATTTGTCAATTTTGCGTTTAGGTGGTCGGGAAATGGTGCTTTTTTTGGGGTGGATTGTGTGGCCTCAGTTGTTTGACAGCCAGTATCATCATGTGTTGTTGACTCGTCCTCCTCAATGGGTTGGTCTAAACTTTCTATAGAATTTTCAGTTGGTTGGGCTTCAACTTCTTCCTGAAAATAATATTTAGCAAATATAAATACATATAACATCTACTATTAGATATAATGAGTTGTAATTATTTTGTACAAAATATCTCTGTATTGTTATATTAATTTATTTCCAGGTTCCACAAACTGAAAACGACTGGATTGCTATAGCAAAGGATTTCGAAAAGAGATGGAATTTCCCTCATTGTCTTGGCAGCCTAGATGGAAAACATATCGATATAATTCCTCCAGTCAACAGTGGATCTTTTTTTTTCAATTACAAACATAGACACAGTTTAGTTCTACTTGCCATAGCAGAAGCAAATTATAAATTTATTTTATTTGATTTCGGTACAAATGGCAGAGTATCAGATGGGGGTGTCCTTCAGAATACAGAATTTTTTAGAAGACTTCAGGCCAAATTATTAAACATTCCCGGAGAAAAAGAAGTTGCAAATGAGTCACGAAAGCTACCGTTTGTTTTTGTCGCAGATGATGATTTTCCTTTGAGGCCTGACATGCTGAAACCATACAGACAGAGTGATTTAACTTGTATTGAAAAAAAAAATGTACAACTACCGATTATCGAGAGCACGGAGAATCGTGGAGAACGTCTTTGGGATTATGGCAGCACGCTTTAGAATTTTTCACACCTCTATCAATTTAGAGTTATATCACATCGAGGAAATATTGAAAGCAACATGTGCTTTACACAATTATTTAATGTCGACTGTAAAAGGAATTTATGCTCCACCGGACTCTTTTCACTTAGAGGACATAGAAAGTGGTATGATTCGCGTTGGCTTGACCCCTGAAAGTTCTAACATGTCATCATTACAAAGGTCCCATATGACAGGAAGTACGCCATTTAATGCTAAACAGGTTAGAGAAGAATTCAGGAATTACTTTTCCAATGAAGGAGCAGTACCTTGGCAACACAACTTTACACATTAATAAAATAATATGGTAAATTAAGTGTGTGTGGACTTTTTATGCAAATAAATAAACTACTTATGTATAAATATGAAAAACAATAAAACTTACCTCTGTCTCGTTCAAGTTAGATACTGATTTTCTAGGTGTTTCTTGATCTCCTAAAAAGTGAAACAGGTGGTAGTACCAGAGTGTGGGCCCATAACGTTCATCTGCACCCATTTCAGAGTGTTCTGCATCTTCAACTTTTTTCTTTTCTCTTCTATAATTAGTCCGGAAGGAGTTTATCTTTTTAACAACTGCATCCTTGTCGGCATTAACATCAATTAACATATATTTTTGTAATAATCTTCTGTACGCTGCATCCCTCTTTGCTTTGTTATGATAATCTTTGGATTTAACGTGCCAAAGACATGGCTGATTTTGATATTCTCGAATAAAATCTTCCAATAATTCACGGTTAACCTTTTTGAGATCACTAGTCATGACGAAAATTACTCAAATGCTACTACGTACGACCAGTCACGATATTTTCAACACAACAGGAGAGACGCCAACTTGTGCAAACTTGACAATTTTGGGTACACACGTACCGTTTTGCTTGCGCAAGCGCGCCTAATTCAAGCATGCATAATTAAAATCAATTCAATCCTCAAGCTGCTTGTACAATTACGAAGCTTGCACCACATTTCCCTACAAACATTCAAGCGTACTTGTACACAAAGATTGAACAAGCATGCTGGACAAGCATGCAGTTGTGTCTGTAGCCACCTTTAGCGATGATTCCAGGGTGGGTGCACCAAAAACGTCAGTAACCCAGGAAAACGTCGATGATGTGCGCAAACTCATCATTGAAGATAGACATGTGACATATCGCGAGATTGAGGCGTCCTCGAAGATCTCATTGACCTCAATTCAAAAAATTTTACATGAAGAATTAGGAGTGAGAGAATTAGTTTCGCGTTGGATACCCCACCTGTTGACTGAAGAGCAGAAAGCAGCCAGGGTTAATTGGTGACAAAAAAACGCTTGACCGTTTCAGTTTCGGAAACTCAAAAAATGTGTACAGCATTGTTAGTGGTGATGAATCGTGGATTTACTGTTATGAACCAGAAAATAAACGACAGTCGGCTGTTTGGGTGTTCCAAGGTGAAGAAAAGCCAACAAAAGTCATCCGTTCTCGAAGTGTTTCGAAAAAGATGGTAGCGACATTTGTGTCAAAAGCGGGTCATATTGGAACAATTCCTCTTAATGAGCAAAGAACTGTTACTGCGGATTGGTATACCACCATTTGTTTGCCAAAAATCACCGAGCTTCGAAAAATCAACCCCGAAAGAAGAATCATCCTCCACCAAGACAACGCAAGCTCGCACACAGCCCAAAAAACAAGGCAGTATTTAACGGAAGAAAACGTGGAATTATTGGACCACCCTCCATATAGTCCCGATCTAAGTCCTAAATATTTATTTGCTTTCCCGAAAATTAAAAACAGACTGCGTGGTCAAAGGCTCCAGTCACCAGAAGAAGCAGTTGACGCATTCAAAAATGCCGTTTTGGATCTGCCAGCAAACGAGTGGAATAAGTGCTTCGAAAATTAGTTCGAGCGCATCAGATGTGTATTAATCTTCGTGGAGAATACTTCGAAAAACTATAATAGAGTCATTTAAAACTACCTACCGTGTTGTTTTATTTCCATATGCAAAACTTAAAAGACATTCCTCGTAGTAAGATGGAACTGATTGTCGATGTTTACGTTCAAGTGTGAAACAACATCATTTTTCCTGGTCTCATAACGAAATAATAAAATTCTATATTTTTCTGGATTTATGATACAACCCTGTTCGTATAGCTGTCACCAACCTGTCAGTGATCGTGTCCAAGATTCCGCCACACAATTCCGTTCAATCTGCTACCCTATATAGACGGAATTCACATGGCCGGATCCCAGACACAGTTGCCGACAAGTCACCGACCACTCTACGAACAAACCTGTAGTTGTGATCGACAGATTATTTGCTTATATTACCAATGTAGTCCTGCAATGATGAAACAGTGTCTTGTATGAAATCAATAATGAAATGGTAGGTGAGCTGGATGTCATCAGCAAATGATGTATAGGGTGAATGTGCCAGTAACCCGGACACTACCAGTAGTCGGACAAATATTATATTATCGGTAAAAATTTGAAATCCTAACTTGCTGGTAATTGGTACCAGATTTATCAACCAATTTGTGACAGTTTATACAAATTTCACATCCACAGTTGTCATATTGACAAAATAATTAGCGGGTCAAAACTAGGATGTATTCGATTCATCAATCTTTGTCATTTGTGTAGCGAGTGACAAACTTTGAAGGCAAGTAGAATCATCAGCTGACAATATATAATAATAATAACTATGACTTTACTAGAATTAATTATGCTGATGCAGGGCCGTATGCTCGGCTGTTCGATTTTCGTCCGTCGGAGCGCATGACGTCACGCGGAGAGTGATAATCATTTGGGTTCATATGGGTATGAACGTGCATATTTTCACCTACAGGCCAAACGGCTGGACGGATTTTCACATATGAGGGGTCGTTGGATTCATCTTAGCGGTGCGAGTGACACCAGCTGCATTGAAATTTTATAAAAAACAAAATGGTGGATTTTAATAAATGATTTCAACCTTGTAATTCCTACTTCATAGGCTACAGATCAACCGGCTTGATAGATTTTCACATATGAGGTGTCGTTGGATTTGTCTTAGCGGTGCGAGTGACACTAGCTACATTGAAATTTTATAAAAAATCAAAATAGTGGATTTTAATAAAATATTTCAACCTTGTAATTCCTACTTCATAGGCTACATATCAAACGGCTTGATAGATTTTCACATATGAGGTGTCGTTGGATTCGTCTTAGCGGTGCGAGTGACACTAGCTACTTCAAAATTGTATACAAAACAAAATGGTGGATTTTAATAAACGATTTCAACCCTGTAATTCCTATTTCACAGGCTATAGCTTAAACGGCTTCTAGCTCCACAATAGAGCGTATCGTATCTTCACTGTAAAAACAAGATAACTCCATTTTTCTACATTACCTATATTTTGATCCGGAAGAACATCCTTGACCTGAAAAACAGTTTTTTTAGCTTTTTTAGGGCAGTCAATGTTGCTGCTCTTCAACAGAAGTTCTATAAAATTTTGCTTTTTTGACACTATTCCGTCCCCATTGAATATAGTGAATACCTTGTTCAGCTTCTCATTTGAATCATGAAAGTTGCTCAAGGTTTTGATAATCCACTCTCACTAAGATGGTCTATCCATGATTAAGTTTCATTTGAGGAACTTCTTAACCTCTCAGCCTGCAATTTGTTGCAAACAAAGCCGGCCAAATTTTCCAGCCCGTCATACTCGAGCTCATCTATTTCTTCCATTAAAACTTGCTCAGTATAGCTGATACTTCAGGTGCATTTAGTTTATTCTCGTTAATGATGCGGTTAGTGGTTAGTGGAATGTCTGGAGTATGATCTGACTCTACGCTGCAATAGGTACTCTGAGTATGCGCCTTCGTTTCGCCCCAACATATATGACCTTATTCTATATTTAAATTCTAGAGGACTTGTATCGTCATGAAGACCATCTTTTGCCTTAATTACTCCGAAAAGGTTTTCTATCACATCTTGATTAAGGCGTCTTGTTAACAGGTATTGGACGCTGAAGCGTCGTTTCAGATCCTCTAGAGCATTTTCTAGCAAACCCTAGCGCTTTTTGCATTGACTTTGTCTTATCTTTTTGTGAGAGGTAGCCATTTTTTTGCTAAAGTTTGGGTCTTGAGGAAAACTGTGGAACTTCATGTCTTTGCAAAGATTCCGTTTAGACGGATTGTCGGAATTACATCTCACAACAGCACACCGCATTTCTATCAATTTATCAACCACACAGGGTATATAAGATATGTATAACTAATACAAAAAGTCACAAAACCACCAAAAAACACCAACAAATCGCACTATATAGTATTAACCACGATACACGTGAACTGCAGTAACGTTACAATCCTGCCGCTGGTAACCACGAGCCGATAACTCTCCGGGTGACGTCACGAAGCTCGGCCCACATGCGCAATATCCTAACTTCAGTGTATGTGTATCGTGATGCTGATGATTCCAGCATAGTTATTACTGACAAAAACACCACTGAATTGGAACATAATACTCAGCAGGTGATTGCAATTAGTGAGGAAATGCTTTGCAATGGATAATTTTTATTGAATAATGAGAAAACTGATTTAAAAATATTTAGAACAAAGCAATCACATATTGATATACCACAAAATATCACACTTTCTGATAGTAACATCAAAGTAAATCAGCAAACTAAAGTGTCAGGAGTAGATTTAGATGAATTTCTGCCTTGGACTCCACACATAAATAAAACTGCTTTGAAACTGAGTAGCATTAGCTATGAACTGCAAAAATTATTCAAAAAAGGACCATAAGAGCAATAAGACATGAAATTTAATGAAAAATGTAGAGGCGTATTTAAGTGTAGTGTATGTGTTTAATGACAGTACATGCACTTTACATTTTTGATTGTATTATGTTCACAGTGAAAAATAGAAACAATTTTCGCACGCAAAATAATCATACTTACTGTACAAGAGTTCTGAATGTTTTGCTGCCTCAGCATAGACTGACAGCAACTGAAAAAAACTCCTTTTATATGTGCGCAAAGTTTTATAATAAACTACCTAATCATTTGAAAGCGATGGAAGGTACAGGAGCCTTAAAAAGCTGAAACCATACTGTATTTCTGAGTACGTTTTAGTTTTTTGCTGGGGCATCAAGTTAGTTCCACATCTGTCATTTCTACAGATTATGTATTTGTGATTCTAGATTTGGAATAAATATTATTATTATTATTAATACTATTCTCTGTTCTTACATATGCAGAAGACATTCAAAATTCACAAAATAAATTAATCTTAATGTGTTATTTTAACATTTTGAGGTCAAATTGGAGTGGATGTTGACTGGATCATCATACTAGAATGGTGTGGTCATTATCATTCTATCTTTTTCTCTTTGAACATAAATACTTCTCTCTTGAAATATCTTAGAAAGATAACAAATAATGTGGATTAAGGCCAGTGATATTGTGTCCAAGAACTGTAATCAACAAATTTTCATAGCATCCCAATAACTGGCCACTTCCATTTTCTCGCATTTTTTCTCGAAACTGTGAAATAAGATTTACACTTCATTCAGGAATATGTCAAGAAAAAAAATAAATTCTGTATATGTAGGTAAGGTAGATTAAAGGAGACAGTCAAAGATGTCAGAAATTGCTTGAAATATGTAAACAGTATGGTAGTTCGATCTCAACAGTGTAGGACTGGATTAAAGGAAAAAATGAGTATCTTGTTAATTTTTATCTAGTCTGTATGTATTTTTGATGAAAATATCTATACTAAATGGACTCATTATGAGTGTGTTTATTTTTTTTCTCAAAGACTTGATAACAACTGATTTGAAAATTCTATTCTACTATCACAAATTTTTAACCCTTAACTGGTATCGTGGAGTATTTCGACACTCCACTGATGATATTTTTGCTATTTCAACATACTTTCAATCAACTTGTTTGCCTGATACTCCATGTATTCTCCTAAAATGACGGCATCCTGAGAATACCACTTATTTTTTACATAACAGAAGGACAGTTATTGAAAAAAAGGGGGGTTGGGGTGTCCAGACACCCCATGATACCAGTTAAGGTGAATTGAAATTTAGAGACTTGTGAAAAATGAATCGCCGAATATTGAGCCAAGCAGAATTGGAGACAATAGCTGAAAGGTTTGGAGATACAGACAGTGAAGATGAGACTCCAGCTACTATCAGAGAAGAGGTCGATGATCTGAGCGATGGCCCTAATGATCACAGTGATCACGATACTGAGTCAGAGATAGAACACTCTTCTGAAGCAGAGGAAGAGTTTGACCAAGAACTGACTTCAGGAAACTGCTACTATGGTCGAAACCGATACAAGTGGTCTAAAACTCCACCTGCACCATCTAGAGTCAGACATAACAACATCATTCATTTACCTGGTACTAGAGGACCAGCTCTAAAAAATAAACCAAATACTCCTTTAGATGCTTGGTCTCTTCTGTTTACTCAGAATATAATTGATCTTATTGTTGAACATACCAACCAGAAGGTAACAGACTTATCTGTAAGCTATGGTGACACCGCAAGTTTTGTAAATCACGTTGATGAAACGGAATTGAAAGCATTTGTTGGTCTCATGCTATTGTGGGGTGTTTTCAAATCTGGTCATGAAGATGTTGCCAGCTTATTTGCAATGACGGTACTGGCAGAGATATATTTCGGGCAACCATGAGCGAGAAGAGGTGTTTGTTCCTCTTATCAGCTTTACGTTTTGATGATTATAGTACGAGAGATGCCCGAAAAGCAACTGGGGATAAGCTTGCGCCCATATCAGAGATTTACGGAATAGTAAACGACAACTGTAAACAAAACTACACGTGCAGTGAATATGGAGTTGTGGGCGAGATGCTCGTGGGGTTCCGAGGCCGATGTTCTTTCCGGCAATGTATAAAAAGTAAACCGAGAAAATACGGAATAAAAATAATGTGCCTCTGTGACTCAAAATTGGTAGAACCTATATTGAATTCCAATCGGAACGTGACCGGTGACAATTGGTTTGCATCCATAGAACTCGCCGATGAGTTGGGTAGAAATGGTTTGACATATGTTGGAACGATGAGAAAAAATAAAGGTGAAATCCCAAGCCAATTTCATCACAAGGATGGCCCTGCACTCTCTTCAGAGTTTGCGTTCACACGTGAGAAAACTTTGGTGTCGTACGTGCCAAAGAAAAACAGAAGTGTAATTTTGCTATCAACGATGCACCATGATAAGTCTGTGAGTGACACCAACCGCAAACCTGAAATCATAGAGTTCTACAACTCAACCAAAGGAGGTGTAGACTCTCTAGACCAGAAATGTGCTGTGTCTTCCTGTCAAAGACGAACACGAAGATGACCCATGGCAGTATTCGGCGATATTCTAGATATTTCAAGAGTCAACAGTTATGTGCTCTTGAAGGCATCTAATGAAAACAAGAAGATGACAAGAAGAGAATTCACTATAATGCTGGGAAAATCACTAATCCAAGCACATTTGAAGCAACGGCTACAAGTAAAAGAACTTTCCTTGGAGTTGCCTAACACTATCAGTAAAATACTGGGCATGCAGCATAACAATACTGACAGACATGATGCAGCAGGGCCAGCGAGGCTATATGAGCGATGCAGCTATTGCCCCAGAAAAAAGGATAGAAAAGTCAAGTCAAAATGTGCTCAATGTCAAGAATCAATCTGCAAAGATCATTCCAGACAAGTAGTGAAGTGCTGGGATTGCAGAAACAGGTAATTTTCATTCAAAAACTATAACTCATAACAAAAAAAGAAAAAATACCATTAAATTATTGATTTACCCCTACCATTTTATGGCCACTTAGTATCAAAAAATAAAATGTACTCTTTTGAATTGCACGCTTAATTACCTTGCATTTGATGCCCCACAAGGCATATTTTGACAAGTTTTGAAAATTACCCCCACCCCCTTTTTTTGCTAATATGGGGTTGATTTCATTCATTTTCAAATGGGACCATTTGGCACCGCAACCCAGCTCAGGTGTCAAATTTCATCGGTTGTTGTATGATCACCATAACTCACACTATACCTATGGTATATACATGTGAGCTAAAAATACAGAAAAAAAAACACCCCTGCCAGAATTTTTGTTATGTAATAAAAATTAATTTTTTTGTTTCAGGAACTGAGAATGGACCTTCAGGTAGAAGTCTACAAGAAAGATCTAGAAAGTTTCATTTCAGTACAAAGTTGTGTGAAGCTAAGTAAGAGTATGTTTTTCATTTCTGAAAAACGTAGTATATGAAGATTTTTTTTATTTTTAGTGTAAAATGTTGATTATAGCTTTTAGCTTCTATAAACCTTGTTGTTCTTTAGAAAATAAAGTTTTTTTTAAAAAAAATTGTATGTGTTCAAAAAATATAAATAAAAATGGGGTATCGAAACACCCCACCATACAGTTACGTTGCTGGAAAGAACAATACCAGCTAAGGGTTAAATATGGTTCTGTCTAAAACTGGCCAATCAAATGCATCTGGCAATTCGAAACTAGCATGTTCTGTCTATGTACTGGCAAAATAGCACCTTTTTGATTACCATTTTTTTATAAAATGACAGGAACATCTCTAAATAATGTATCTGTTATCAGCAAAAAGTTAACAACATACATATATGATCACCTCCAAATGGATTTGTTGTATTATCTTGGACACAAAATTTATAGTTACACTTTGTATTCTGCCCTATACCACTTTTGTCTAAACTGTCAGACCACTGGCATATTCACCCTACAAATGTAGTTGAACGTAGAACTGTTTAAAAATATCATTCTATTATACTCTTGAAGTCAACATTGTAATTTTCAACACTTTCAGCCACATACAATTTAGTTTTGAATTCTCATGGTTAGTGCTTGTCACCCACAGTTTGCCGACTCTGCAACTGGTACTGTCCCCAAACGAGTGTTTTTGTCGCGTATATCGCTGGTCTAAAAATGGTGCAGTTATGACCAACAATTAATGAAGGCATTTTATTATAGTGCCTCCTGCTGCCCCATAAAGAGATCCTGCTAGTCACCATCTACTGTCGTTAAATCAGTTCATTGGAACCAGTTTGATTCCATCGTATCCAAAAAGAACAGCAATTTACGTGAGTTCTACATTTATGATTGCAAATTAGTTGATATTAAACAAATTTATTAGATACTCACTGAGGTAATCACAAAGAATTTCTGCAGAACCCTTTAGGGTAATTGCCGACTTAGACTTTTGTGCGTTGGTCGTCATAGTGCCAAAAATATTCCTTATGTTCGTTTGCAAGTACTGATATTTGAACCTCCTAATCAAAAGTAAAACGAGAATTAACACCAACTACCCAACTAGGGACGTGAATAAAAACTTTGAAGTTCAAAAACTCCGTCCGTTACATTACAATCACAAAACATATACATATAAACCACAAAACATATACACTGAAGAAGATCCCGTGCTATCCATAGAACAACATGGTTGATTTATCTTAGCGTCAGGCGCCATTTTTTCTAGGTGTAACATGGTTGCCTGATTGTGCACGAACGACACATGCGACGCTGCCAGCTCTTCGTATAAATCTGACACTGTTGTATAATTTTATAGTAAGCATTTCTAATGATATGAGGAAGATTTTATATTGTTATTAACATATTTTTGCTGTTTAGACAAATAAGTAGTCACAGTGTCAGTTTGTAAGTCTGTCAGGTCTGGCAACCCAGAAACCAGACAATTTTAAGGAAATAAGGGAAGGAAAGGAGAGGAGGAAGAACGAGAGCAAAGAGGAAGAATAGAATCTTTTAGGATAGGAAGCGTTTAGGCATTGTTAAAATCACTTCACAGATTTTGATATGATTTCAAAAATTTGTTTGAAAGATTTTGTCAAAATGCTTCAATTTTGGTTGTTCTAAGTTCCCGAATTAATTTTGATTACAGTGCGAGCCGCGACCTTTTGTGCTTGCCTACTTGTTCGACTGTGAAGTCCACTGACTCGCGCAACAGAGTGTGGCTATAGCGCCGCTGCGCCTGTTGCTTATCGTAGTCCCTTAGGTAAGGAGTCCTTACCTAAGGACATCGAGGTCTCTATGAAGAGTTTCGTTAGAGACAGTAATAGTGCTGATTTCGCATGTGTGTTTTGGCAATAAAACACCAAGCCGCACATGCGTAAGTCATTGCTGGTCTTATAACCACCTTATAGAGTCGAATCTTGTTAATCAAACTTAATTTTGATCGTTTGCATAATAATGGGTAAAGCTGTCGAAACGTAATTTGGAATTTAGTTTTTAGCGCTTCTATATAATTCCGCCAAGTCATCCCTTTGTCCAGAATGACACCGAGATACTTAGCGGAGGTTTCCCATGGTATACAAAGTGCATTCATTGAAACTTCAGACGGAACGCCGCGACGTCTTTTTGTACTGTAACAAGACTTGCGCTTTGTGGCTCGACGGCCTCTTCTCGAATCAGCGATGCGGACTATATAGTTCGACGGCCGGGAGATGGAAGCAGAGTAGAGTAGATCCATTGACGTCTTATCCAAAGTAGAGCAGAGTGGAGTATAGTTCAGTCAATGGCGCGACATAAGAATATAGACAGAGATAAATAGTGGTGTACATAAATGTTCTATCAAGTTAAATAAAATAGTGCATTTCTTTTTGCCTAATCCAGTATTTTAATACACACCCAAAAGAACCCGGAAAAACGCTACATTGGTGTCAGGTGTGGGGTGTGAATTATTGGACATTTAGTGAAAATAAATCGGTCGATTAGTGAAGAAAGAATGGCGCGATCGGTTGATTTGAAAATTGCTGATTTAAAGAGAGAGCTGGAGGAAAGAGAGTGCGATACGGCTGGAAAGAAAGCAGAATTACAGGAGCGGTTTCGTCAAGCACTGATTGAGGAAGGTGAGGATCCGGCTATTTTCATTTTTACCGGTGCAGGGGATATTGGTTTAATGCTGCAAAACCTTTCGACCAAGTTAGAAAACAAGCTCGTGGAACATTGTGCCAACCTAGAAGGAAAGCTCATGGAAAATTGTGCCGATCTCGTAGAAAACTCAGCCAAGTTAGAAAATAGGCTCATGGAAAATTGTGCAAACCTAGAAGGAAAACTCTTGGAAAGTACAAATTAGAAGAGAAATTTTTGGAAAGTACTGCCAATTTAAGAAAAGAAGTGGAAGATAAAATTATGGAAAATTCTTGCGAGTTGGAAAAACCGATTTTATAAATTTTAGAGGACAGAATACAAGAAATGCAAGGCAAGTTTGCCGCTTTAGACGTCAAGACCATCGACGAACGACAGCGTGGACTTCCGTTGGAAAAATCAAGTGAGGTTGGAGCTTCTGTTGGGTCGACTGGTCATCTGCGAATGAAACCGGCGCAATTTGATGGTACATCGCCTTGGAATGTCTACCACCGTCAGTTTGAGGCAGCCGCGAATGCAAATGGTTGATCATCCACCGAAAAGGCAACTGCACTCACTTTGGCCCTGCGAGCTATTCTTCAAAGAATATCACCCGAAAAGCAAAAGGTCTACGAACAGCTAGTAGGACATTTGGAGGCGAGTCCTTGCAGGAGTTTGAAGCGGATATTGCGCGGTTGGTACGATTAGCATACCCCGATGTTCAGGAAAGGATAATGGAGCGATTGGCAGTTCAAGCGTTCCTGGATTGATCTTCGTGATGGTGAAATGAGGCAAGCCTTACTACTAGCACATCCACCTAAGTTAACGTAGATGCGCTAACTTGCGCATTAGAATTCGAAACCGCTAAAAACACAAATGAAAGCCAGGTCCGAGTCCGCCAGATGGTATCAGGAGGAAACGAGTTCAAAGAGTCCGTCAAGCACATTAATAAGGAATTTGATGGTGAACGTCGCCGCCAGAACAGCAAGTTGGAATGATGGAAATGAGGAAAAATAGGGCACGTTAGGACACGCTGCCTAGAGGATGGTAATCATTGCCAGCGGGCAGAGGAGAAATATGCCCAAGTATTAAGAACCACTATCGTTAGTGATACTTGGCAAATTGAAGACATCATTAAAGACCAAGAGGGCGACGCCGATCTCCGAATAATTCTGAACTAGAAGAAAGAACAACGGAAACCAGCCTGGAAGGAAGTTGCCAAGTATTCCCCTACCATGAAATCATATTGGGCGCAATGGAATTCTCTCGTTATGGACGACGGACTCTTACTGCGTAAAATGGTGGACCACGACAACAAAGAGGTGAGAAGACAAATCGTTATCCACAAATGTCAGATCCCGGAGCTGCTAGAATCCTAGTAAGAGTGAGGGAAAAATTTTACTGGCTCAGTAGCAAGGAGGACGTAAAAGACTGGTGCAGAAAATGCGTTGTATGTGCGGCAAGTAATAGACCGTAAAGTAAACCAAAAGCCTCAATGCACCAATACAACGTGGGGAGCCCCTTTGAAAGGATTGCTATTTATGTGGCGGGACCCTTTCCATAAAGTGAAGCAGGGAATAAATACATCATTGTGGTAATGGATTACTTCAGCAAGAGGGTTGAGGCATACGCTCTGCCAAATCAGGAAGCCTCTACGGTAGCCGATGCTTTAGTAAAGGAATGGATCTGTCGATGTGGTGTACCTTTAGAGTTGCATTCGGACCAAGGGCGCAATTTCGAGTCAAATCTGATCCAAAGTATCTGTCAAATCCTTGGGATTAAAAAGACCAGGACTGCTGCCTTACACCCGCAGTCAGATGGAATGGTGGAGCGCATGAAAAGGACCATTAACCGATATTTGGCTAAGGTAGTCGCTAGCCATCAAAGAGACTGGGTAGTTTTCTTCACCTCTTCTTATTGGCTTACCGATCGTCGATTCATGAAAGCACAGGAGAGACCCCGGGTCGAATAGTTATGGGAAGAGAACTTCGTCTCCCATGCGATCTAAAGTTTGACTGTCCACCAGGAACTGATATTGCCGGAGATGACTACGTAAGTGAGCTGCATAGAAGAATGGACGCCATCCATAGCTAGGTTCATGTTTCAATTCGAGGTGCCAGCGACTGGACTTTTACTTCAGTATTATGTATTTTGTGCTTCTGTCTATAGAAATTTTGTGGGATATGGGAGATCTTTGATCTTATAACAGCATGTGTTATTAATATTTTGAGCTATCTTGACGAGTAACTGCTTTTTTGTATGTTAACATGTCAATAACACAAGCTGTTATAAGATCACTCATATCTATTTAGTTCAGAAGAAAAGTCTATATTGCAAATACATTCATATATAGGTATATAGTTTATAAATCTCATACATTTTTCTACAAACAAATCACTATTAAGATCATTATGGACCAGATGATTTTATTCCCCAGCCTTTGTTGACACTTGCTTAAATAAAAAATTTTCACTGTTATACATCAAATATGTTCGAAATATTTAAAAAAAACTATTTTAGAAATTAAATTTAAGCACCCTGTATTTCGGAAGCCACGCATTTTTCGACCCATGTTTATATAGACTTTATGCATTAATTTTAAAAGTTCTATCGAATCTTAAAGTTATGCAACAATAAACTGAAACACCCTGTATATCAATAAAATCAATCAGTTGATATGATAAGTGCGGTTCATATATCTTCGATGACTTTCTCCCTCGTCATTCAAAATCAGGTGGACGTGTTCCTCCATTTATAATTTAATAATTTAACTCAATTTTCAGCACTGCGAAGACAAATTTTCAATTGGATGCCTGTTTTTTAAATGACCTTGACATAAGACCTGTCACCCGCTAGTACCTCACAGACGTTAGGCGGGTACTCGTACCACGTGATTTTTTGACATTCGGACGACATCACATCAATGAACTGTCAACACTGATGGAATCGCCCCGTCCCATTTGTACAATGCGGCCAACATACGACAAAGAGGTCCGAGAGAGAGATGGAGCTAGTCAGGGCAAAAAGCGCGCGGACTTGAATGAATTGCATAGGAAACCGAGGATTCTTAGAGATTTAAAAGTTATTCAGGCAACTGGAACGAGATAAAATCCTGGAAACGTAATTATAATTAAAAAACCAAGTTTATTTATTTATATATACATATGTATGAAGCTTGACAATAAATTCTCATTTACACATTTGAAGATATAAAAATTAGTATTTAATAATTAATAATTCAGGTAGCAAAGAGATTACATCTCTGCTTATAATTAACTTAACTGCTCTAATATACTATATCTTACATATAAAAAATAAGAGATCTAAGAAATATCACAATAAATACATGTTATTTTCTATATATCTTTATAATGTTCCAACTAGTATTTATGCACATTTAAATTTATTTTTATAGTACTGTAGCTATCAACACTAAATGTAGTGGGAACACATCCAGTTTTGTAGAGATTAAAGTGTACAAAGAAAAAACACTTATATATACAGGGTGACTTCGAAGTTGAGTCATTTATTTTAACAGTGAGTAGATCTGATCAAAAGAAATGTTTTATTCCTTTACCATTTTTCTGGTAAAATTAAAGTAACAAAGTTATAGCCCTTTGGAAGTTTGAGTACCGCCCTGTCTCAATAATAATATCATGTGATCGTGTTTGGCAACAACGGATATAGTCCACCTTATCGGTTCATCGCATCGGAAACAAAAAAGCGAAAGAATTTGGAACGACGTTTTTACAACTAGTTTATTCAGTTCAGTTATAGATACAATCAGTGTCAGTCGCGTGTGAATAGTGTCTGTTGCGTGGCTCAAACGAAATAAAAAATGGCACATGTTTATGCGGATCGGTTTCCCAATCGAGTGCAACCAACCCCTCGTGCCTTTGTTAATGTAGTACAACGGGCTCGTGAATCAGGTGACTTAAGACCTCACAGGAAACCTCACGATCAAATACAGGTCCGCACTGGAATACTTGTCGGGAGGATACTTTATAAAACAAGGTAAACATTTTTTTTAATTTTTTTTTTATTTTTACACACATATTTTGGTTTATCTTCCTTCTACAATCATTATCTGAAAATTAATGACTCAACTTCAAAGTCACCCTGTATATATATATATATATAGGTGAAAAATTAAAGCTTCCGCCTTTTGTTGGGTACTTCGACAAAATTTAAGCAAAGAGGACTCTTTATACTTTTTTTAATTCTCTCTAGCTTTCAATGGACTTTGCCATCATCATCAGGAGCTGCAATTACAATGATAACAGTAGCAACAAAGGTGTAAAATGAATTTAAATTGACTCAACTTACAGTAGTATGTGAGGATGTTGCTAATTGTTGTTTACGTATAGGATGAGGGAAACGTCCAGTAACATGGTGAGAGCTGGATAGGTTGTACAATGGTCAAAATTATATAAAATATGACAAGAACAAGTTAAAAACAGATTAAAAATTATTTAAAAAACATTAGAGCATTACATCGTGAAGCCACTTGATGATTGCACAAATTAGTGGTCATGGAATAATGAGTGACATGAAACCCTTTGACAGAAGGCCGAAGGATGTCAATGTCAGTGTTGAAAGATGGAACGAATTGTGGGCGTGTGCCAAACGTTGCCAAATCACTTCAGATGATGAGATTTTCAGAATTTTATGCAAGAATTTGTTAAACCGACCAGAGGCAGTTGAATAAACTATATTTTTATTAATGGGAATTTAAATTAACAATTATTAATAAATCGTGAGGAGAGAATTATTATATTTTGAGTGGAATGAAATTTACTGGTGGAATCGGCCAAAACACAGATTCTAATTATGGTTGTGAAGAGTTGAAATTTGGGGAGATATGTAAGTTCTCCAATTTTTCGCAGTTTAGCAAATATGAGTAAATGACACTCAGTTGTTTAACATCTGTCTTTTTGTTGATACAGTTGTTATTCATGAAGATGTGGGACATTTCCAGGAATAAACGTTTGGAAAGGAGTTTTTCTTTATCAAGATTTATCTTGATTTATCTTGATTTATCTTGATAAAGAAAAACACCTTTCCAAACGTTTATTCCTGGAAATGTCCCACATCTTCATGAATAACAACTGTATCAACAAAAAGACAGATGTTAAACAACTGAGTGTCATTTACTCATATTTGCTAAACTGCGAAAAATTGGAGAACTTGCATATCTCCCCAAATTTCAACTCTTCACAACCATAATTAGAATCTGTGTTTTGGCCGATTCCACCAGTAAATTTCATTCCACTCAAAATATAATAATTCTCTCCTCACGATTTATTAATAATTGTTAATTTAAATTCCCATTAATAAAAATATAGTTTATTCAACTGCCTCTGGTCGGTTTAACAAATTCTTACATAAAATTCTGAAAATCTCATCATCTGAAGTGATTTGGCAACGTTTGGCACACGCCCACAATTCGTTCCATCTTTCAACACTGACATTGACATCCTTTGGCCTTCTGTCAAAGGGTTTCATGTCACTCATTATTCCATGACCACTAATTTGTGCAATCATCAAGTGGCTTCACGATGTAATGCTCTAATGTTTTTTAAATAATTTTTAATCTGTTTTTAACTTGTTCTTGTCATATTTTATATAATTTTGACCATTGTACAACCTATCCAGCTCTCACCATGTTACTGGACGTTTCCCTCATCCTATACGTAAACAACAATTAGCAACATCCTCACATACTACTGTAAGTTGAGTCAATTTAAATTCATTTTACACCTTTGTTGCTACTGTTATCATTGTAATTGCAGCTCCTGATGATGATGGCAAAGTCCATTGAAAGCTAGAGAGAATTAAAAAAAGTATAAAGAGTCCTCTTTGCTTAAATTTTGTCGAAGTACCCAACAAAAGGCGGAAGCTTTAATTTTTCACCTAACAGGTCTAGACGACAATGACCACGTTTCAAGTTATATATATATATATATATATATATATATATATATATATGGTGAGAGCTGGATACATGGTACAATGTTACTGGACGTTTCCCTCATCCTATACGTAAACAACAATTAGCAACATCCTCACATACTACTGTAAGTTGAGTCAATTTAAATTCATTTTACACTTTTGTTGCTACTGTTATCATTGTAATTGCAGCTCCTGATGATGATGGCAAAGTCCATTGAAAGCTAGAAAGAATTAAAAAAGTATAAAGAGTCCTCTTTGCTTAAATTTTGTCGAAGTACCCAACAAAAGGCGGAAGCTTTAATTTTTCACCTAACTGGTCTAGACGACAATGACCACGTCTCAAGTTATATATATATATATATATATATATTTATATATATATATATATTTATATATATATACTTTGAAGTTGAGTCATTAATTTTCAGATAATGATTGTAGAAGGAAGATAAACCAAAATATGTGTGTAAAAATAAAAAAAAATGTTACCTTGTTTAATAAAGTATCCTCCCGACAAGTATTTCAGTGCGGACCTGTATTTGATCGTGCGGTCTTGGAGCACCGGCATGCTCTCACCTGTGAGGTCTTAAGTCACCTGATTCACGAGCCCTTTGTACTACATTAACAAAGGCACGAGGGGTTGGTTGCACTCGATTGGGAGACCGATTCGCATAAATCCGTGATGCATCCGGCAGCATTTTGTAAAGACTGCCCCCCCGTAAATAAGAATCATGTCCACAAGTTCAGCATTTTCGTAAACATGTGCCATTTTTCATTTCGTTTGAGTCACGCAACAAACATCACTATTCACCCACGCGTTACCGACTGACGAAAAACAACGTGATAAACGTTTCAAATTCTTTCGCTTTTTTGTTTCCGATGCGATGAACCGATATCCGTTGTTGCCAAACACATAATATTATTATTGAGACAGGGCGGTACTCAAACTTCCAAAGGGCTATAACTTTGTTCCTTTAATTTTACCAGAAAAATGGTAAAGGAAAATAACATTTCTTTTGATCAGATCTACTCACTGTTAAAATAAATGACTCAACTTCGAAGTATATGGAAATACCACAATGGACCACGATGTTTTGCCCTGACTAGCGCTATCCTTCTCGTTTCTCATTCTAGCCGCAATGAATTCGCGTTACGCCTGTTCCATCAGTGTTGACAGTTCATTGCATCACATCCGTCTTCCCCTATTCCCATTCTTCGCGAAAATTTGAGCATCGGTTCCCGGTAGTGCACTGTGCTACACCGTGGACTCGCGAAAAAATTCTGATTGTGTATATAATGTTTTGTGCTATATATATTTTCTGAGTAAAAATATCCTAACCGGGTGAAAATTATTATTATAAAAAAAAGATCATCTGTGAAAGCATCTCAATATACGATGGAAGAAGCAGATAGCTGCGATGTAAGCATGTCTGATGGTGAAAGTTCTGAAATGAGCATATCTATAGAAGACCACCATGATACAGAAAATGAATCTGACCTGGACGATAATACTAAAGAGGAGGATGAAGATGATACTATCAAAGCGATCCAAGATGAAAGTAGGAAGCAAAGAGATAGACCTCCAAATATTGAATGTGAACACTTCATAACAGACCTTTGCTTTCACCCAGAACATGATTTGCTAGCTGTTGCAAATATCGTAGGTGATGTATTGTTGTACAAGTATTCCAGTAGTGAGGCCACACTAGAGGAAACTCTCGAACTTCACACAAAAGCATGTAGAGACATAGAATTTAGTCAGAATGGGAATTTATTATTCTCCACCTCAAAGGATAAATCCATAATGATTACAGATATGAATAGTGGGAAACTGATGAGGTTTTATGACAACTCACATGATTCGCCAATCAACTGCATATCTGTTATAGATGAAAATATATTTGCTACAGGTTAGGGATTTGATTATAAGTGAAAAAAAAATCAATGGCAATTGATTTTTTCTTTCTTCAATATTAATTGATTTTTCTTTGATAATTTATATTTTCTATAAGTTGACAAACCACATTTTGCATAGTAATACTAAAATTAATAGACTTACATTGACAATTTATCAGAATGAAAATCAGTTAAGATAATGAGTCCAAAAATAATCATTAGATATTGTTTTCAAAAATGTACTGTGTTCTAATTTATACCTATATTGAGGGGATTGAAAAAATGTGCAATATATTTTTTATCAAAATAAGACAGCACAAAGTGCCATCTGTTACCAGAACCAACCAGTGCAAAAGTAAAACGAGCAGAAGCCATCATCATATGATTTTGTTATGATGTATTGTATTCTTCTAGTCAAACCCTTCCACTTGATACCCATATTGAGAGAGTTTCTAGATAATATCTAATGCATAATTTTGGATTTGACATTTTTTCATGGTGTACAACTATGAATGCTAGGTACTGTATCTAGGAACCTATCCATCATAGCTTGCAGCAAACAAAGTTCTTATTGAAACGACCAAGAGAAAAACCTGGAAAATATTTCCAAGTTTCTGAAGTGGCCTCTAGATGGGGTAACTGCAATCTTGAAATCTAAAAAAGTGTATGTAAATTCCGCTATATTAACACTTTGGTGGACACTTGGGAAAGCACAATTGAACACAATGTGACATGAGGGCCAAATTTTTATATAGTGGTTTTATTTAGCTGATTTTATATCTGTGGGTATATAAATGATTATTTTTTTAGTTTTATTTCCTATATATTTGCTCGAAGAAACTTACAAAATGGAAAAAGAAATTCTAAGCTAATCCCTGAACACAAAAAAAAAACAAATCTAAACCCTGCATTAAGTGAAAAAATGATTCATATACCTACTTTATGTTTATTTGAAAATACAGAAAACTGAAAACATAACTCAAAAAAATAATTATTTCGTATTATAAACTTTTATATCATATCATGCCAACCTTCAAAGCATTCAGGACATAACGGTGGTATTTCAGGACACTGTTTACATCGGTAACTAGTCTGTTTTCTCTGCTTATTTTGAGTGCAGAGTCTGCAACGTAAAAATTGAGTTTTCAGGCAGAGGTATTCTTTTAGGAAAGTGCATTGGATTGTTTCTTAGCAAATTTACATTTGCGCTCGGCTTTCTTTTTTTTCTTGATTGCTTGTCATCAAGATATTTGCTTATCAGTTGAGAAATAGTAAGGTCGCCTTTAATTTCAAGCAGACCACTGATAAGCTGGTCTCTATATTCTAAAAACGGTATATTCTTACATGCTTTTTTATAGATGTAATAAGAGTTCCAAACTGCTACATCAAACAAATGGAAAATAACTTTTTTGTTCCATTTTATTGTTTTTCGTGGAGATGAGTAATATGATATCATTTGATCGCATCTATCAATGCCACTCATATACTCGTTATATTTGGTGATCTCTTTCATTTTTTCTTTCCCAAATCTATTTTGTGTGTTAACCATGTTAGGATCATTGGCTGTTGCAATGAAAAGTACTTCGCGGTTGTCTTTCCATTTTGACACATAAACCCTACCAGATCTTCGCCAAATATACTCTCCTTTCTTACGTTTTTTTGAAACAATAACAGTGGGATTCTTTTTTCTTGTGCGGCGGAGTGTACCTGTACTGTGGATTTTCTGTTGCAGCAAATGTTTTGAAAGGGTCACGCTGTTGTAGTAGTTGTCCATGTAAAGGAAATGACCCTTGTTTAAATATGGTGGCATAAGCCTGAAGACAAGATCTTCTATTTTAGAAGTAACAACTTCATCTTTGTTAGATCCATAAATTTGAAAACTCGCTTGCGACTAAATCTGGTTATTGTGGTCATTTTCTTTCCATAATCGTTTGTGGATTGCACTAAAAGATCTAATATTTCTGGAGTGAATATGAGATAAAATACCTTTAACGGTGTCATTTCTGCATTTAGGTTTATGTTAAACCCAACTCCATTTTCGTCAAAGTCAAAAAATGGTGTCAGATTCCCAATTATCGTCATCGTTTCCAGAATCTAACGAATCTTGTGATTCACTACTACTAGAATCAGACTCATTTTGTGATTCCACATTTTCATCAGTAAATGGTGGTTGTCTTGGCCTTGGTGCGTCGTAAGACCCATCAGAACTGAGACTGCTTTCCGGATCTGGACAAAAATCTGGATCAGAACCCTGACTATCATCGCTAAATGGATCATTTCTGAAAGAACTTCTTCATATAGTCTCTGTATACATCGCTGTTCCTTTTCATATGGGTCGTTCATCTAAAAAAAATCAATACATTAGAGAAATTCAAGATCTACATTACGTTAGCAGACTAAAAAAGAATACATTTTCCCTGCAGATTTAATCCCTCAACTCCAGACAGACAGACACACAGATAGATAGACAGATCAACAAACATACATATTCAAATTATGTTGATTAACATTTTTTTCATCCGTCTATAATGCTGAGATTTGTAATTCTTTTTTAGTTTTATCAAACGGCAACATGAGCTTCGTATACAACGAATCTATGAAGAATCCAAAATATAGCTCATGGTTTTATAAAAAAATTATAAAATAATAATCACTCACTTTTTTATTTGAAAAATCCACGACGAAAACACCATGAAAGAAATCACATCATCACGTGGCAACTGTCTATCTACTAATGCAGTTACTATGCGACTACAACATCTATAGATGTCTTTGCCGCCAAAAGTAGACATTGCGCATATCGAATGTAGCAAAACAGTAGAAGGGATAAAACAGCCTTTGCAAGCAGGCAACCTAAAATGTTGAGCTGTTTGTGTTGTGACACTAATGTGGTCCCTAACGCTTTTAAATGTAGAACTCGACAACTATTACGGCTGCAGCACAGATCGAAGTTATCTTTTTAACCACTATAGTTGTCCTGTCATAACATGAACTCTTTTAAAGGACGACTATAGACGCTGTGTCCACCAAAGTGTTAACCTAACAAAAAATACCTGATCTTTAAGGTCGAGGATAATGTGAACTTTTTTTGTTTGGCAATTTTTGCTGTATCTCTATAAATTAAATGGTGGGGGTATTCAAAGGTTTCCTTAAAAGACATCCTGTCTTCAAAACGGCTGAGCCGCTGTTAACAATCTTGGCCTAGTTGAAAAGAACTATAAGTGTTATAATATTTGAGTTTTGTTAGTTTCTCATGTGGCTGCTAGAGCGACATTCCGACAAAAATAGTCAATTTTCTTAAATGCCGTGGTACGATTTTTTTAAATGCCCTCGTAAATGCCTCTCATGGGTAGACAACACTGCAGATTCAATTTCGGCTCTCGGTATGTTACGTAATGCATTACGAATCCGGTTTCTCATATCTTGTCTGGTAGGTAAGTTCAGTCTGAAACACGATGTCCTTTAACCATCCCCATAAATATAAAAATCAGGCCATGGAAACAGACTTACTCTTCCAATCCACCGCTGTTGAATACTGCGTCAATATGCTCTCGCACAATAATAGAATGTGCAGGGCAACCATCTAATTGCAAAAACAGGTTTTGCCATGTTTCCAGTTGGACATCTTCCAACAATAACGGTAATTGATTGTCCAATAAGTCAAGAAAAACATGCCATATAGGGATTGCTCGAAAAAATAGGGCCAAAAATGTTTTTTTTTTATGAAAAAATAGCTGAATGATGTGTAATATCTATTATATGTCTAATGTCTCCTAACCTAAAATTTAGACTAAAGAAAATTTTATGCGGAAATCCCTTAAATTTTTATTTTTTCAAACTAATGTTTCTTTAATCCATTATTATTCATCAGAATAAAATCACCCTTTTTCAAAACAGTACAAAATGTCGCTAAAAGGTAAGTAATGCTAATAAGGCATATTTTTTGTTTAAGTGCTATGGAATACAACAAAACAAATACCTAATCAAAACAAATAATACTCAAATAGTCAATAGTTCCGCGTTACTTTGATCAATATTTGGCTTACCAAAAATGAGTTTTAAGAACGATGAAGCTCGCAGTTTATTTTGAATGTCTTCACAATGCCGCTTAGCAAAGAGTTTACGCGTCTCGATATCCAGATCGGCATCTTTGCGATGTGAGAGTTTTCCCCGATTAGTGACGAGCTTACGAGCCAATGGTAGTTTTCGGCCTACGTTTCATCGGCAAAGAATTGGAAGAACACAAGAAAATATTAACCGTGTAGTGGGATAAATTGAAGGAAATCCTCATGTTAGCACAAGGGCATTATCATTTGACTTGGGCATACAACAAACAACTGTTCAAAATATTTTGAAGGATCATAGGTAAGTTCTAGTGGCTATCAAAATATAGGGATTTATTCATATTTAGCATTTTTTAGTTACTTTTAGAATGCACTCATGTCGTTTTGCAAAAGGTCTTGAAAGAGGAAGACTTTGATCGGATGTTGGACTATTGCCATTGGATGTTAGGCATGATACGCGAAAATAGTTTTCATTTCAAATTCTTTGGACCGATGAAGCCACCTTTAATATTGACGGGAGAGTCAATCTGCACAATATGCATTATTGGTCTACAGAAAATCCGCATTGGTTGTGTGAAGTTCAGCGCCAAGGTCGTTGGAGTTTAAATGTGTGGTGTGGCATACTGGGAGGCAGAATTAATGGCCATATTTTTTCGAGCAATCCCTAAATGGCAATGTCTTTCTTGACTTTTGGACAATAAATTACCGTTGTTGTTGGAAGATGTTCCACTGGAAACATTTCAAAACTTGTTTTTGCAGTTGGATGGTGGCCCAACACATTTTGCTATTATTGTGCGAGAGCATATTAACGCAGTATTTCAACATAATTTTCATACCTATCTATACAACTAACATAGCTTGAGCATTAGAGAAATAAGGGTATGAAGAATAAAACTTGGACACATTTTATCTCATTAACGACCGAGATTTCACTAAAGCGTATGTGATTCATTGTTATTATTTCTATAAGTTTAATCTAGGATTGCCTTTTGCACCGTTATTGCGAACCACCTTGCATACAGCATTGTATAATTTGATTATTATTTGTTTCCTTGTGTAGGTGATGATGATGGCATGTTAAAACTATGGGATTTAAGGGAGAAGAAGGATACACAACAATGGAAAACAAAAAAGAATACTGATTATATTAGTGACATTATCACCAATGATTCTCGTCAATATTTGGTATATTCTTCTGGTGATGGTTCATTAACAACGATAGACTTGAAAAATAGGTATGTAAACATTTTTTTCTCAGAAAGTATGACACATAGTGTTTCGTACCAAAGCCTTTTTATTTGGTTTTGAATCTAAGTTCATATACGTAGTCGTGCCATAAGTTCTGTCCCATGATAATCTCATGATAAAAATGAAACAAGATAAGATATATTTATATGAAAGATATTATTTATTCGACAACATTTTTAGAATTCATAATCAAACAGTTTTATTCAAAATGTCCCCCCTTGGCCTTCACACACTGCTTCAATCTCGCGGGCCACTCATCTATCACTGCACGCACAGCTTCCAAAGGAATAGCTGCCGCTGATCGGATCAAATCCGCTTTCAGGGACTCGATATTACGGTGGGCTTTGGAGCAGGCCAACTGCTCTAGCAGGTCCCACAACTTGTAGTCTAAAGGATTGAGGTCCGGACTCCCTGAGGGCCAATCTTCCGCAGCAATGAACTCTGGCACATTGCTTTCCAGCCAGCGCTGCGTACTCTTAGCCTTGTGAGCGGGGGCGGAATCCTGCTGGTAGACCCAGTGTTGGTTGGCAAACAATGTACCACTTAAAGGCTTGACGATAGGATCCAGTATGTCGCTCTGATAGTTTGCCGCTTTTGTTTTCACGCCCTGTTTACAGAAATGGAGCTGAGTGACCCCTTCGTAGGACACCCCCCACCAAACCATGACTGACGCAGGGTGGTGGCCTCTCTCAACTCTCGGAATGATCTCCGAAGCTTCCTGTGAACTCCTTGCATACACTTTGTCATTTTGTCGGTTGAATTTTTCTTCTATGGTGAAGATTTTCTCATCCGTGAACAAAATCTTTCGGAATCCCCCAGCTACGTACCTCTCCAAGAGCTTCTTGGATCTTGTCGCCCTGATGTGTCGCAAGGTGGCCGTAAGTCGCTGGCCCGTACGTCTCCGGTAAGCCCCTAGCCCTAGGTCTTGTTTAATGATGCGCGACATCGTCCGGACAGGAATCTTCATTTCCCTGGATAGGATCTTCTGCTTCCGGAGTGGATTCCTTTGAATCCTGGCTTTTACGGCTTTGATGGCTGCTGGAGTCCTTACTTGACGAGGTCTTCCGCTTCTTGGCCTGTCATCAACAGAGGACGTCTCATTGTACCGCTGAATGGTCCTAGACACAAATTTACGCGATATTTGAAGGCCGCGTAAGAGTTCAAAAATCTGACTAGCACTGTGATTACACTTATGTAAAGCTATCACTGCAATACGGTTCTCTGCCTTGCCCCACTCCATCGTTATGCTTCGAGAGATCAATACAAACTGAGGTATATGTAATTACCCGAAAAGCGCTTAATCAACTGACACCACAATGTAAACAATCGGACAAGTATTAACAGGTCTACACTTGTTTGAAAACGAGGGACAGAACTTATGGCATGACTACGTATGTACAGTCTTGAAGCTCACTGGGACTAACCTGAAAAAGGGTACTATGCCTCCTGGCAAACCAGAAAGATAGTTCGCTCTAACAACGGGAAGCTATTGTCAATATCGTTCTCTAAACGTAATGAATCAAAAAAAGCTTTATTCAAAAGAATATACGAGGGATGTGTTTTAAGTTTTCCATATAGAAACATAGTAGGCCACGCGGATCGAACGTCAGTACTGAATCTTAACCTCACTCTTTAGCAAACTTAAATTCAAAGTTTCACTACAATACGTGCAGTGTTATCACTACAGTGCATTTTTAAGTGTCACCAAGTCATTAGAAAAATGGAACTCAACCGAGAACATTTTCGCGCCATAATTTATTACAACTTTCAGATACAATTATCGCAACAAGAATGCCTTGGTATGAAGAATTCAAACGTGGACGGGTGAGCCTTAGCGACGATCCCAGGGTGGGTGCACCAAAAACGGCAGTCACCCAGGAAAACGTCGATGCTGTGCGCAAACTCATCATTGAAGATAGACATGTGACATATCGCGAGATTGAGGCATCCTTGAAGATCTCAAAGACCTCAATTCAAAAAAATTTACATCAAGAATTAATAGTAAGAAAATTAGTTTCTCGTTGGATACCCCACCTGTTGACTGAAGAGCAGAAAGCAGCCAGGGTTAATTGGTGTCAAAAACCGCTTGACCATTTCAATTCCGGAAACTCAAAAAATGAGTACGCATTGTTAGTGGTGATGAATCGTGGCTTTACTGTTATGAAGCAGAAAATAAACGACAGTCGGCTGTTTGGGTATTCCAAGGTGAAGAAAAGTCAACAAAAGTCATCCGTTCTCGAAGTGTTTCGAAAAAGTTGGTCGCGACATTTGTGTCAAAAGCGGGTCATACTGCAACAATTTTTCTTAATGAGCAAACAACAGTTACTGCGGATTGGTATACCACCATTTGTTTGCCAAAAGTCATCACCGAGCTTCGAAAAATCAACCCCGAAAGAAGAATCATCCTCCACCAAGACAATGCAAGCTCGCACACAGCCCAAAAAACAAGGCAGTATTTAACAAAAGAAAACGTGGAATTAATGGACCATCCTCCATATAGTCCCGATTTAAGTACTAACGATTTCTTTACTTTCCCGAAAATTAAAAACAGACTGCGTGGTCAAAGGTTCCAGTCAACAGAAGAAGGAGTTGACGCATTTGGCCGTTTTGGATCTGCCAGCAAACGAGTGGAATAAGTGCTTCGAAAATTGGTTCGAGCGCATGTAGATGTGTATTAATCTTCGTGGAGAATACTTCGAAAAACAATATAGTCATTTAAAACTACCTACCGTGTTGTTTTATTTCCATATGCAAAACTTTAAAGACATCCCTCGTAAAACAAACAAAACATAACTAATGGTAACTGCTTAAAAATAATTACTTAACGTTTATTTCTTTTGTCGAATATTGGTGCATGGTAAATTGCTCTATTAGCTACTAGTTTCTGTGACGATCAATGAACGTTCATCTTTTTCTTTAAACGGCTGTGACATCAATCTTTTTTTCCCAGCACTGCAAGTTCTCAATTGGGTGAAAATACGGACTGTCATTGTTTTTGCGTGTTACCGATACCTTATAGGATTCTACTGCGTTAAGACTACATGTTGTCGGTTCTAAGTACAAAACATCAAACTTGTGACATTCATCTCTTTCCCCCTGTACCGTTTATATACAGACTGTAACAAAAGTTTGGAACGCATCAAATATCTGACGAATGACTCTCCTAATTTTTTTAAAAATTGGTTGGGTTAAGTTCGAAACCACCGTGGATCCGTGATGATATCCGCGATGTTGCCAAATCTACAGTTTTTCAGAAACTGATAGCAACTTTTGTTTTTCTTAAAGAATGCGATACATTTTACTCGATATTTGTATTCTGTCAGAAATTCTGAATACTTTTTTTTGAACATACTTGACGTAGACCTCATAGTTTTCGAAATAACAATAAAAGGTACTTTTTTTCACCTAAGCAATGACGAAAAATAATCCGTCATTTCTGATATGTAAAGTCTATTGAGTTTTGTTACTAGAGTTAATAAAAATATGATTTATTTAGCTAAAACCAACAGGATAGAAATTCTGATATAGATTAAAACAGTGTATTTGATATTCCAGGGAAACAAGAGAACAAATTAAAAACAAAGAAAATGATAAAACCTAGTTGTTAATTTAAACTTCAAAACAAGATAAAAGTCATAAAATGTTTAAATTGTCGTCCGTTATATTTCTTGGCAATAAGCTAGATATTGCGGAAATGCGTGTAGAACATGTTTAAGACATCCGGTTTCCTCGATTCTTCTGCATTCATTTTCTATTCGTTGCTTAGTTCCTCCAAATCAAATGGTTTGGTTTTGTATACTATATTTTTAAGTGCTCCCACAAAAAATAATCGACGGGTCTGAAGTCAGGAGACCGAGGTGGCCATTCAGTCGTACCTCTTCTACCTATCCATTTGCCAAAAAATGTTCGCGAACAGTTCGAACGTCATGCGGAGGTGCACCATCTTGTTGAAGCTATATTCTATCCTTAGCCTCTCTATTATTTACTAAAAGAAAACAATATTGATATTTTTTATTGTTTGTGGTAATAAAAGTTACAAGGATTGAGAAATATTTCCGCTAAAACCGGGACAACGTGATTCCTCAAAAGATGCAAATATCTTTCAACATTTAAATGTTCTTCCATGAAAAACGGACAGATTATCCTTTATCTTTTTATACCCAATGAGGGTTTTCCCTGGCCCAGAAGCGGCAGTTATAGAGATTTAGAGTTCTGTTCAACGAAAAACTTGACTCATCTAAAAACATTATTTCGTACAAAAAATGTTCATTTCTTTTACACATGTCCATCATGGCCTCACAGAATTTTAAACGCCTTTCAAAATCATCATCTGATACCTCTTGAACCAAGGTGACTGTAAGGATGGAATTTGTCCCTCTTTAAAATGCGTTCCAGAGCACATGTCTGTATTGTCATCTTCACCAAGTGTTCTAGTAGAAAGGTGGGGGTTTTTCCAGCTATGCTCACTAAAATATTCAACGCCGTATTTTCGTCAGTGGCTGTTTTTTTGGCAGTCAGATCTTGGAACATCCTTTACAGGTCCTGTTATTTCAAATTCCCTCAAAACTTGTCCAACAGCAGACCTTGTCATTGGATTCCGGTTGGGATATTTGTCATTAAAAATATCACAGACTTGTTGCTGTGAGCGTCGACAATCGTCATAACCCAGAATCATTAGAATTTTTATTCTCTCGGTTTCAGTTAAATGAATCATTCTCAATAACTCTAATAACAAAACTCAATGGACTTTTGTATGCCAGAAATGACAGGAAATTACTTTCTATACCACACGGCTATTATAGAGATTTTTTCGCGAGATCCCGTAGTGAACCGGAGCGGGAACAGATGGAATTTCCCCTTCCTCTCGAAGTTTTGACAGTTTCAAGTTACATGCGGAGTGGTTAGATGGCGCATGTTGCGCAAAATGTTTGCTTCAAGCTCCTTGATAAACTTAGCTGCCTTGTTTGAATCTGAAATAAAAAGACCGATCGTTTTTTGTGCAATGTACATATATATCAATAAAATCAATCATTTGATATGACAAGAGCGGTTCATATATCTTCGATGACCTTCTCCCTCGTCATCAGGTGGACGTGTTCCTCCATTTATGATTTAATAATTTAACTCAATTTTCGGCACTGCGAAGATACATTTTTTATTGAGATGCCCGTTTTTTAAATGAAATTGACATAAGACCTGTCACCCACTAGTACCTCACAGAAGTTAGGCGGGTTCCCGTACCACGTGATTTTTTGACATTCGGACGACGTCACATCCGTCTTCCCCTATTCCCGTTCTTCGCGAAAATTTGAATATCGGTCCCAGGTAGTGCACCTGGACTCGCAAAAAAATCCTTTATGTAAAAAACCTATAAAACGTCAAAAAAAGTCATCTTGCAGAGTGGGTAGTTTTTAGGGTGCAAATAGTTCATTCCACTTTGCTGCATCTATAGAGGAATGACTCGACTACAAGCCGAGTAGCCTGTAGTTTTTATCTTTGAGTAGATGTGAAAGAAATAATGTTGGTTGAATAGCAAGATCGCATCTGGATGATTATGTCTATTGGTCTTCATGTGTATAAAATCAGTGATATTTAAATTACTACTGAATATGCTGCCATAGAAGTATATCTATTATGTCCTTTCTGAAGACAGGTTATGTTCAAACTATACGATTTTTCCGGCTTTTTGTGTTTTCAAAAACTTTGAGGATCACTACGGGAAATCGCCACCACGCCACCGTTGTGTGCAATTGAGCCACATCACACAAAAATTAGGTATGACGCATCACACATCAATGCGCTAATTTGAATTTTCTACTACTGACATATCAAAATAAATTTCTATAAAATTTAAATGACTATAAAAAAATAATGTAATAACCATTTCACTTTCATAAATATTCCTGTCTGTAGCATATTTTCTCACCTGTTCCTTCACCAACCATGGATTTTCTTTTCTTATCTCCCGCATTTTTGAAATTCAGCAAATTTTGCATATATAATTTTCAGAACGATAAGAAAAAGTGGATGCGCAACTAATTTCTAGCTTTGAGTCTCAAGTAAGTGTATTTGGGCCAAGCAACCAATGGAATTATCATCAACATATGATTAGCACACAAATCCTCACTATGCACCTATGCACCATGCGCTGCCGTTTCCTTCTAGCTATAGTATACATAGTATAGTTTGACAGTTTTTGCTGAATCTCTAAAAATAAAGTGGTGGGAGGTATTCAAAGGTTTGCGTAAAAAATATTTTTCGAAACGGCTGAGCCGATTTCAACAAACTTGGGCTAGTTGAAAAGAGCTATCCTTGGGCTACAAATGTTATAATATTTGAAGTGTTGTTAGTTTCACTTGTGGCCGCTAGAGGGCCTTTTTTCGACATTCCTACAGAAATGGTTAATTTTCTCAAAAAAAATTAAATGCAGTGGCTAAATGATGTCTAAACAAGTTCGCTAAATCCGCTTCTCGATATCTTGTTCCTAATCTAAAATTTAAGTCAAAGAAAATTTTATACGGAAATCCCTTAATTTTTATTTTTTTAAATAATTTTTCTGGAATTTCTTTTTATTATTAAGTTGTGGCCCTAAAAAGGACCCATTTTAAAAATAAAGGTTTTTAATGCCTCCGTAAATGGTCGAAATGCTGACTATCACGCTCTATGCATTCCTGAAGCCTCTCATGGGTAGACAAAACTGCAGTTTCAATTTCGGCTCTCGGTCTGTTACGTATGGCATTACGGACCCGACTTTTCATATCCGTCATAACCGTTCCCATGAATAAAAATCAAGACAAGTCTGGTGATCGCGAAGGCCATGGAACAGACTTCCTCTTCCAATCCACCGCTGTTGAAATACTGCATTAATATGCTCTCGCACAATAATAACAAAATGTGCTGGGCAACTATCCAACTGCAAAATCAAGTTTTGCCGTGTTTTGGCAAAGTTAAGATATCGAAACGCAACGCTATTGGCGTGACGTCACGATATCGGCAAGTGAGCATCCGATCGCTGTCAAGTTTGATCAGTACCAGTTAGTACTGGTTCATCATCATAGATGTCAACACCGTTTGATAGCGAACATTCCGCCACCAGCAGGAGAATTTCACACCTATCAATACTGACGGCAATTTAACCAATCAGAATAAAATGACAAACCATGAGTTTACAACCAAGAGCAAAGGAGTCGCGGACCTCGCTGACGGACAATGACGAATAGAAGACTACGAGTTGTGACGTCACTGCGAAGCGCGCAGAACATGCTGCGTTCAAATCAACGTCATTGGCATTGCACTTTTAAGTGTTTAATTAAAAAATAGACATTTTCATGAATGACATATGTGTTTATGGTATAATTAATCGACAAATAACACAAAAAAACATGCACATTCCCTATTGCGAGCATTTTAGAAATGTTGCCTCGAGATACCATAACTACATGAAGTAATTTTCAGGAGTGTGTTTATGCAATCTGAAGAATATGATGAAGACTTGACCTGTCTAGGTCTGTTTCGTTCTGAAACCAAACTGCTAGCAGGATCATCGAAAGGAAAGTTATATATTTACAACTGGAGCGAATTCGGACTACACAGTGATGCATTTCCTGGCCCCAAAACAACGATCAACGCTATGGTTCCCATCACTGAAAACATTGTTATTACCGCTTGTGAGGACGGAAATTTGAGAGCTACTCATCTGTTTCCGCATAGACATTTAGGTAAGAACAGTAAGGAATTTTTCGCGAATCCACGGTGTAACACAGTGCAGTACCGGGAACGGATACTCAAATTTTCGCGAAGAACGGGAATAGGGGAAGACAGATGTGACGTCATCCAAATGTCAAAAAATCAGGTAGTGCGATTAACCGCCTAAGGTAGGTGAGGTACTAGCGGGTGACAGGTCTTATGTCAATGTCATTTTAAAAAACAGACATCTCAATTGAAAATTTGTCTTCGCAGAACCGAAAATTGGGTTAAATTGTTAAATCATAAATCAAGAAAATGGAGGAATAGGACCACCTGATTTTAAATGACGAGGGAGAAGAAGGTCATCGTAGATATAGGAACCGCACTTCTCATATCAAACAGTCGATTTTATTGATTTACATTTGACAAAAACGATTTCAGAGACAAAGGGAGCAGTTAAGTTTATCAAGGAACTCATAACAAACATGCGCCACCTAACCACTCCCGGTTTAACTTGAAACTCTCAAAAGTTCGAGAGAAGGGGGTAATTCCATCTGTCCCCGCTCCATTCACTACGGGATCTCGCGAAAATATCTTTAGCGTTGTTACATACAATATCTTGCCATTGAATATTGAGAATAGCTGCGTTGAGTGTAAAAGACAATGCAAAACTTTGGCAGGTGCATAGGATAAAAGTACACAAGAATAGTTGACCTAACATTAAGCTGAGTAACTCTGAGTAGAATTTTGCACCAAAGCTGAAACTTCTAGGATGACGTAATACTTAAGTTATTTCGCGCAATGACCTTGGAATGTGACCTTACTTCTGGTGTGGAGGTTAAGCTGCTGACAAATGTGAGGAGAATAACATTTTCCACTACTAACCCGATAAATCACTATTATCAACCGCACCGTCCTTCTGAGAAGTAGCAATTAAAATCTTCACACGCTCGTGTGTACCACTCACAAAGATGCTAATGCCGTTCGCTACCCACTAGGCAAATCCTGAATTTATAAGGGTGATATTTTTTTACCCAAAATAAATTGGGCTGTGGATTTGACTCTTCCTACATTTTTCTCAATTTGCCTAGTTGATATCCTAGAGTTCTCAGCAACTGATTGTAAAATACTATTCTGAGTTTTCTCTAAAGCTTCATTTTTTTTTAAGCATAATAGGCTTTTTGAATGAACCATTTTCATTTAAATTTCGAGCCAAATTGACTTACTTGGCTGCCTTCTTTGGGGAAATTTATCAAGATTCATTTCTGCAGTATTTTTAGTATGTAACACAAAATGTAGCACGTCACCATGTCGAACTTTTCTTCATTGCTAAAATAACCGCCTGGCATCTTTGACGATAATAAAGCAATATTAACAATACATAATGATAAAAATTAGCATGTCATCGTTGAAAGGCATTTACATCAAGTCAAGCATTTGTTAGCAACGCCTACTTAAATAATTGAAAAAAATTATAAAAACGTATTTTCCTTATAACCAAGAAAATAAATGTAACATGTGATACGTCGTAGAATTCGTATAAAAAATGCTACTTATTAGCTACAGGGCCATGTAAAAAAATAAAGTTGATGGTTTCTCAAATACGAACTGTTGGGCACAACATTCAAAAACACCACTACACAACACTATCAAATAAAAAATTGATTTGGCCAAATTTTGGTTTTTCCCAAATATCTCAGTAAGCCATGAAATGTTTAAAAGTTTCGGAATGGCATGCAGATACACCCCAAAGAACGCAACTTTTTCCTAATTTGGATATATTTAAATTCTTCTATAGTTTTGCATCCATAAGAAAGAAATGGTCCCAAAAGTTATTTGTACCATCACTGGTACAAAACAAAACAGAAATTATCACACTGTGATATTCCATTCTCTTCAAGTTTTGCTTATTGAAGAACTAGAAGGTGTATTTTTTATACCTTCATTAGAGCCGTTCATTTTGGCTGGTCGGAGTCCAGATCACCGAGGATTTGATTCAAGGCCCAGATAAAAATTAGCCTTGAGTACCAACATATTTTTGATGCTGCCGCCAAGACTACATTGTCCATGCTCGATGCTGTTCCGTGGAAATCGAACAGTGTCGGGACCAAGGGCGGATTCAGGATTTCGTCTAGGGGGGGGGGCGCAAACGATATTTAGGGCTGGTCATTTTTTAACCTCAGTGGAACTTCTAGAATCCATCCTATTATTGCTCCTTAAATCCATTATATTCTATCTGGTCAAGGCCAGCTTGAAAAAAATCATGGAAATTGCTCAGAAATCCTCAGAAAGCCAATATTTTATTATATGAGAACAAAATAAGTACGTGGCATTTATAATTAACTAGTGTAATAATATTAAAGATTCAAACATAAAAAACTTCATTGCTCTGTTAACCGACAAAACATAAATAAAACATTCTAAGGGAGCTCGAGACATATCCCAGTCCATTCCACACAAAACAATGTCTTTGATTGCGAAAACGAACATGAGACCAAAAAATTCACATTATCGTATGGACGCTAGACAAGACAAAGAAGGATGTCTGTACACCATCTATAGATCGTGTCTTGAGACCATCTCCAGACCGCCTATAGACATATTGCATAAATTAAAAGGTTTTGCGGAGAAAAGTATTTCTTAGACATAAACAAATAGCTTAACTTTTTCCCACCAGCTGCCGCTATTGACGAGATGAGTTCGTGCCAGATCAGGTCCTCGGTGATCTGGACTCCGACCTGTCGAAATAAATGGCTCTTTGGCAGAACACGGCCATCCATCAAAACCGGATGAGCCTTAGGACGCTTTTTGATCGTCAAGGTACAGTACTGTGTTTTGGAAGCAGTAAACTGTACAAGATTGTTGCGCCCCCAAGCAGTGATAACGTCCAGAGAGGAAGTCGTCGCGAGTCTTCTTTTTTGCAGCTCAGCGGTAGAGATCGGCTTGTCACTCTGAATTCCTGCATATAGAGTGCTGTCATCAGCGAAGCTGTGGACTGGGTTGGGGGGAAAGGAGGTCATTGATATGTAAGAGGAACAGCGTCGGAGCCAAGACGGATCCCTGGGGAATACCCGCGTTGACGTTGTGGGATGAAGAGGAGAACCCGTCAATTACGACGGATATCTTGCGGCCAGATATAAAGTCAGCCACCCATCTGCAAAGCTTTTCGGGGAGGCCATAGGATGGAAGTTTGCTTAAAAGGGCAGCGTGCCACAACTGATCAAACGCTTTCGTGATGTCAAGAGATACGATGTCAGCCTCACCATAAGACTGAATGAGTTTACTCCACAATTACGTGACGTGAGCTAGGAGGTCCCCTGTGGATCGCTGGTGTCGGAAACCATACTGCCTGTCGCTAATCAAGCTGTGACGTTCGAGGTAATCCAGAAGCTCTAGATTTAGACACCTTTAAGTCACCTTACTTATAACAGGAAACAGTGCAATAGGCCTGTAGTTGTAAGGGTCGATCTTAGATCCTTTTTGGGAAGGGTTGGACATGAGCGAATTTCCAGTTTTCTGGGAAGGTGCCAGATTCATAAGATATCTGGAAGAGACGCGAAAGAACTGGAGCAAGCTTACCTCTCCAGTACAATGGCAGGAATCAAGTCCGGGCCAGAAGCTTTGTTGGCGTCGAGCACAAGAGCTTTGGCCTTTGAGTCCAATACAATCGTTCAATCCTGACACGTAAGTGGTGGAAGGCTACTGTGTGAGAAGCTCTTTTCGATCTGCTTGACCAGCGTCCAGAAAGACCGACTGCCATTGGGCTGTGATATTACCCTGTGCCTAACTCTTATGTCGTGCTGGTTTTTGGCATTGCGATCCGCTTCGTTATACATACATTGGTTTCTGGACTCGACGTAGGCTTGTGTGTTCTATACAGTGGGGTTTTGTAAGAAGGTTATGTGTGCCTTGATGTTCTGTTGGCGAGCAGTTTCACACGATTTGTTAAACCAGCCGTTGGACCCTGGCTTAGGCACTTTCACTAAATGAGGCATGTATTCCTCCATTCCGACGTGGATAATTTTGGTTATCGAAGAACAGACAGCCGACACATCCGTGTCAGTAAAACAGACATTTCTCCAAGGAAAGGTAAAGAAGAAGTCTCTGAGCCCCTCCCAGTCGGCATGTCCGTAATGCCAAATTTTGCGGCCTGTGCGAGTTTCTGCTAAAACAGCGGGTTGTCACCGAAACCTAACCTCCACAACACAGTGGTCTAAGTTACCCAGGGGAGACAGGACAGCAGAGCTGTAAGGGACAGGATGCCTGGTCAGAAAGAGATCCAACAGGATACTGGCATGTGACGAGACGCGGGGCTAAAAAAGTAGTGCCCGTCACCAGCTGGGTCGTCAGCCCTTGAGTAAGAGCGAACGCTTAAACTGCACGTCCTGCTGCATCGGTCTTGTTTGAACCCAACCAGAGCAAATTATGGTCATTGAAATCACCGAGGAGAACTACCTCTGAAGCGGAGTGATTGATGTTCAGGAAGTCGATCTTGACGGCGAGGTATTCAAAAAGTTCATCCCAGTTATGATCCGAGGGGAGCGATAAAGGCAGCAAATAAATTTGGGGGATGTTTTGGAGTTGAGGCGAAGCCACAGAATGTCCTTCCGGTCTGATTCCAGAGAAACATCTCTGCAGCAGGAAAGACTGCTGCGGACAAAGGCTACAACTCCCCGGTTCTTTCTCAGATTGGAGAGCACCTCGTAATTTGGTAAGCTAAGATGGTTAATCGGTGCGAACTCTGAGATTTTTGTCTCCGCCAAGAAAAGCATGGCGGCACGATTGGATTGCAAGTAGTGATGAACAGCATCAATGTTGCTGTTAACCCCGCACATGTTCGTGAAACAAATTTTATCTTCGATGTTGTTCCCTCGAGTCCACCCTCCACTCAGACATTCTGAGAGTGGAGTTAGCGTACATCCGGAATTCTTAGTACTCGAGGGATCTATCAGCATTAATTTCTTTGTTTTGGAAGATAACCGACTGCATAGCTTAGATGTGGAAACATGTGGACATTTATAAGACACCCTGGGAAAAGCTATAGGGTGCTACCGCCTCGGTCGACTGATCCTTGTCTACCACCTTCTTTTTGCGTGTTAATAGTATTAAATAGACCCAAAATGGCCCGTTCGCGGACTTGTACCGCCACCCGGCAATCGGTACTGAGGTATTCCTTAACGCGTGTACAATCACTTGTACGGGAAGAAGTTGTATGCTGCAACTTCCGGAACAAGCATTTGCCACGGCCCCGCTCAGTAGGGTTTGGGGTTTTTGAAATTCAATATAGATGTTACAGTTATTTTTCAGAGTTTCGTTGTCGAACTAAGATTTACGGCATAGTTGTTTTCTCAGTTTTCGAACCGGTATTGATCGCATGTGGAAATCCTTGGAAAAACTATATCTGTTAGATCGTAATTATTTTGATAATGTATGGTTGTACTAAACAAGTACATATTCACGTATAGTTCAGCAGCTCTGTGATTTAAACGAATTCAATATAGCAACATAAATAGACACTACGCTAGAAGAGAGACGGTACGTGTGGTATTGATTTTGAGCATCGATCGACGCAGTTTCTAGACAGGCCATAGGCGCACCGCTAAACAAATCTCATAAATGTCTATTTCCAATTTAAGCATTCATCTAACATAGTGCTTCGTTGCAACACCAACCCTGACAAAATCAGTCAAGCTTTACACACTTTTCAAATTACTATTGAGCAACAAACAGAACATAAATCACTTTTTAATGCAATCTGTATAGCTAATATACGTATTACCCATACTTAGATTTGTCACAAGTCACAATACTCGTATATACGTATAAATCGTAAGAGATGTGCTGTAAACAAGTGATGTCAAAGAGGGACAGCATTTTGAACACCAAAGGATACCAAAAAATCATAATGCTCAGTTCCTATAGCTATAACTTACAGCTAGTATGCCTCCGTCACCATGATGTGACAGAAAGTAACACAATGGTGTTAGATTGCAAAAGCAAATTTCAGACGCCTAGGGGGGCGCGCGCGCCCCCCTCTAAATCCGCCAATGGTCGGGACCCTTTTGCACCGACGGGCCGTCGGCGATCAAGCTCTCTTCTTCTACTACGTCAACGGGTTTTGCTCCTCAGAGCTCTCCTCCATGATGCCTGACAGACCTGCCTGACTTTAGCCTCCCAACTGGCCAATACGACCGCTCCTTTGTCCCTAGGTACCGAGATAGTGGAACAATCTACTTGAGGCTTTTCCCAGTTCTACCCAGGCAGTTCAAAAATCTGATTAAAAAAGTATACTTTAGCTAAAAAATGTCAGTGATGTTTAGAGCTGCTCCGTCCCTGGCGTTCTTTCTCTACAGAGACCATCAAGTCATTATCCAATTGGTTACCCAACTGGCTACTAAGCTGAAAAATTCTACAGTGTCATTCGAAAGTTATTTAAGAAAAAGCGATTGCCAGTAGGATCCTTTAGGGGTCTGTATATTCGTGGGGTAGTTCCGTAGGACATTTTTTATAGGAATTTAGAGTAGTATTTTTTGCGATCTATATATATATATATATTTATATACGAGAGATTGACATGTTATTCTGTGACACTCTGTATAAGCTATACGAGCTTTGTCTCGGTGAAGTTGACCCAACTATCAAAACTGTTTTTTTATTAAATTTCTCATATTAGCGGAATCGTATAAGAAACTAAAATGTATTTCTGATTAAATACGATATTTTATTTAATATTAGCCTAAAATACTAAATTCTTTTGTACCAAAGAAAAAATATCTTACAAATTCAAAAAAACTGCCGATTAACAAAAGTGAACGAAACCAAATAGCAGCAAATCACCACATCGTTACATCGCCTTTTCGACTGATTACTGCTTCGATATGTCTTGATATAGTGTCAACTAATGTTTGGCAGTCGTCTGGTGTAAAACTGTTCCAAATTTCCTGGAGACGGTTTCGCAATTCTGGAACGGTTATTATTATTATTATATATTGTTTAAACGCATTTGTTCAATTTGGGGTATTATTTTGAAGCACATTGATGTACTTATCAGCATTCATAATACCTTCTACAAAGTGTAAGTTTCCCACTCCATTTGCTGACATGGATCCCCAAATCATAACAGAAGCCAGAAACTTAACTTTTTTTTAAGACAAACATTCTGACACACTTTAGTTCTTATGACACGACTCCTACTATCACCAACGCATACTTAAAATCTGGCTTCATAACTCCAAATAATGGAGATTTATTGGTTCGGAGACCATAATTTGTGTTATTTGACCAACAATAGTCTGTTTTTCTTCTGAATCTTCCTCAGTAAGGGCTTCTCTTTTGCCTAGAAATACCGAATTAAAAAAGAATAATAAAAAATAATTTAAGTCTACCTTGTAAGTTTTAAATCCCAGTTTTTGGGTAGCTCTGTGACAAGTTGCTCTTGAAAACTTTTTTGTGGTTGCCTGATTCCATATTTTCAGTTGATTTTATAATTAGCACGCGGACTTTCTGTTATAAACCGTTTTAAGGCTGTTAAGTTGGTTTTGGAATAACGCGGGCGACTTCCAGTTCTGGTTTTTTGAGCCACAGATCCCGTTGTTTTGTACAATTTAATAATATTTCACACTGTATACCTCGATTTGTTAACACTGTCGGCGATTTGGGAAGCAATTTGGCCTTTTTAATGCAAGTGAATGATCACTTTCTTAATTCGTTTAAAACAGCCTTACCTCGAGCCATTTTCAATTGTTAACAACAACATCAATGCATTGAAAGTTGAGTTAAACGTCAAAAATCAGCTTGTTAGCAACGTTAAATGGTATCATTTGTTTTACACAGCCTGCCTTTATTTTATCGAAGCGAATAAATAGACTATTCACTTGATAATTATTATGTTGTCTCCATCATGTATTTTGATATACACAAATCATTTTACAAAGAAGACAATTACGAAATAAAAACGCTTTAAAAATAGCCGCGTCGATTTTGTTATCTTTTCATAAAGATGTAAATAAGCCAAAAATATTATATTTGAAATAAAATTTTAACTAGCCGTCAAAGAGATTTACAAATATCATGTTGTGGGACGTTGGTCCAACTTCGCTGAGACAGGGGTGGTCGTAATATTTCAATATTTATTGTGCTTTTTTTATAGGCATAGCCGGCCAACACAACCTATCCGTGGAAAACGTCGACATTTGCAACACCGGTAAATTTATCGCATCTAGCAGCCATGACAATGATATACGATTTTGGAATATAGAGTACTTTGAAGATTTTGAAAAAGTGAGCCAAAAACATAACAAGCATAATACAAGGAAAGAACTCAGGAACAACTTACCTTCTTCAATGATGAAAAACTCTTCAGATTTCTTCAGTGGATTATGTTGAGCCCTAATAATTTTATAGTATTAAATGATGTGTTACAAATTGCATTTTTTTTTTAGCAAGGCTAGCTGCATTGATAAGCTACAACTATTTTGCGATGTGTACTATTTATCACTTATCCGTAATTTGAATTTCTCTTCATCGATAATAGAGTACCCATTCCTAGGCCAAACCCTTTTCAATGATTTTCTTTTGGCAAATTCAATAGTTTATTGATTGTATAATTTCACTCGTATTATATCTTTCTTTCTCAGCGATTCAGTATGGTGTTGACGATCAGCAAAAAAAACTAGTTTTTCTCCTTTAGTTGGTTTCCTATAAAACATATCTTCTTCAAGGCCACTCAAGATACCTTCTTCCAGAACGTTACGTGTTCTGCGTGATTCGCTTTTCTGTTTCCGTTGAGGTCGTGGTGCAGAGATCGTTTCGTCATTTTCCGGACTCTGTGATATTAGGCCCCAAGCGCCAATTCATGGACTAACACCTTTTTTTTTGTGTAACTTAAGTTTAGTCATTTTGGCTTGGATGCTACGTCTTCCATTTTTTTATGGGATTTTGACCCTCAGCGGTAAGTTCTTTTTTTTATATACATTCGGACCACGTGCCTTAATGCGTGTCCTGATGACGCTCGTTCAATATCTGCTTTCTTTTAATCAATCAATAGAAACAGAAGAGAATCATCATCCTTTCTCCTCCAGTTAGTTGTATCTTGTTGCAGTTTTGCAAATTGGTGGAAGCCATCCCCTTGGAAGAAAAAACCTGATGTGAACAGGTAAAATATCATTCTAATTAACAATTTCATAGATCTTTATACATTTATCATTGCTCATTGAAATTCTTAGAGACTTCTTGATTTTATTGGACATTCTATGTATTCAAATATGGGGGCAGTGCCTACATGGCACCTTCTATTACATTGATCATGATTTTGATTTTTGAGCTGCCATAACTTTTTAGAACAAGGGTATATTAGTTTAGTACATTTTTATCTTTTTTTTGCCTTTGCTTTATTTTTCTTGTATAAAAAATGTACATGATTTTGCTTCAAGTGCGACTGGTTTCAATGAGTAGTTTTATCTCAGACAGAGAGTAGAGTAGATTTTTAGACAGTATTTCTCTCTCTAGGGCTTTTTTTACTACCATAATTTTTGGCAACGAGGCAAGCAGCCCCTGCCCAGTGACGTGCCCACTACTGGCCACATTTTGACCAGAAATGAGGACATCTCGGCCGCGTCTGACAAAGAAGACCTACAGATAAGTTTAATATTTAGGCGCAAAATATCTGTAAATACTTCGGGCGTATACCATGGTAGACGTCTCGCGGGGTTATCTCGAAAAATAATTTTGTCAGGTTGTATTTAAGATTTATAGCATCCTTTCTTTTATTTTATTACTCGCACTCTGGTAGTGGAGCACGTGCGTTTTTTTTATTAATCAATATATTGTGATTCATTTGATATCTTGTTTTATTTGGCGTGTGTACTGTTACTTAAATTTCGTCATCTCTGTTAGATTCTCCTTTTGTGTGGTGGTCAAGTAAAACAAGTTCCGACAAACATCTCGGGGAGTTGTGGCTTAATCCGTCCTAAGTCACTGGCGCTCTTAACCCCCCCCCCTCCCCCTACTCTCCGATTTATTGTGCTAGGGTCTAAATTTGCACGCCACTAGACAACTTTTTTGCTTGGACCAACCGTTAGATAGTATTTATCATTGTGTTTTATTAATTAACCAAAAAAATAAAGGCGTGGCAAGTTGTCGTACTGAAATGAAAATCCTAAACAGTAAACACAAAATTAAAAAGATATACATTCTAAATTGTAATCCCTACTAAGCATACTATAAATGCGAAAGTGCATACACGATGTACCACGTAGAAATGCAGCGATCAATTACTCAAAAAGTTGACATTATACCCTATTTCACGAGTATCCATCACGGTACAATGACAGCTGGTTATCTGTTAATATTTCAAAATTCCCCATACCCCCCCATTTGGACCTGGAACATAAAGTAAGTGCGGCATTCCCGAACATCACTGCGGAACAGTTAATCAATGTAGTTCAAGCAACAATTGATGAAGGTGAACTTTGCTGTGATCAAGGAGGCCATTTTGAACACTTATTGGCACATTTTCTAATTTTATTTTTTGTTATAGTTGCAACATAGGTCAACACATCTGTGTTATTTCTTTTTATTCACTGATGATAAAGTTATTTGCATTTTCTTCTGGTTCGTTGCATATTTTGTATTTCGAAAGCAACATCTTCAATTGTTTGCCACGGATAACTAGAATAATAGGACTTAGTGCATAGGTATACCAAATGCAGATACGTATTATTCGTTGTTAGATATGATCCTTTCTTACAATTATTCAGAAAAATAGTGAAAATAAAATAAGAGTGTGTAGTGTAAGAAATTGGTCTCTAAGAAGCCGACGAGCCACCCCTTTCTATTTGAAAAAATCAAATTAGTGTTTGTAACTGTTAGAAAATCTTTTACACGATTATAAGGTCGTTCACCGCAAAATCGTATTTTCCCGTGTTACTTGATCAAAAATGGATTTACAGGATTCATGGCAGTCTAAATCGAAAAATAAAAATTACTTTATTTCTCAAATAATGACAAGTGAGGTTTGTTCAGTTCAGAATGTCATTCTCGATCGAAGCAAGTAAAAATATATAGGGTGTCCCATTTAAAATCGAAAGTTGGAGTCGTTTCCGATCAAACCGCAAGTAAGACAAAGCAAATGAATATCTTAAAAACGTAAATTCATCTATAATACGCAACCCCCAAATTTTGTTATTCTATCTTCAATAATAAAAAAGTTACATGAGGGAGCCACCTTGGAGAATACCCCGATATTATTTGTTTGTTTGTTTGTTTAAGATTTATTTAGAATGATTGCTACAATTACATTCTTTTAAAAAACTAAACAGGTATTTAGAAAGAATTTTCACTGTACATGAAATATTTATTTACTCTTCTTTTAAACATCTTTAAATTATAAATTATAAGTAGACTTTATATCATTATTCAGTTTATTAAATTCAAGTAATCCTTTCTTAAAAGGTGTTGTAGAAGCCAGTTTTGGGAATCTCTTGAGTAATGGCATGATGCTAGTTCTGGCCAAAACATGATATGGTCGTTAGCATGCTGTTCGTGGACAAACTGAAGCAATATGGAAAGGCAGTTATCAATATAGCTCTGACTGGTGGCGTACCTTCCTGACGATGGTATGGAGTGGAGTGTTTTATATTAACTATCAGTTTTTCGTGGGAAAAAGTGATCAGAAAATAGTGAATTTTTGCAAACACACGCAATAAAGTGCTGGGAATTTTATACGATATTGAGAATGTGACATTGTTATCCTAAAAATCATTTAACACATCTAATTTATTTTATGCAATCCAGTGAACGTAAAATCTGTGATAAATAGTGTTGTTGTGAATCCGACAACTCGCAGAATATCAGGTTTTTTTCTTTTTCTTTCTTCTTGGTGAAAATACTGAAATACAGGGTGATTCGGCTAGCCAACCAGAAGAGCTGATCATGGAAAACCTCATTAAATGCTGTAAAAAAGACCTGACTTGCACAATATGTGTAGAATGCCTTGCCGTATATCATAAAAGCTGTTTGGAACGTAAGAAGAATATGATTGAATTAGGAAAGAACACCATTTTCTGCTCTGATACATGCGAAAAGAAAAAGAAATCGGAAGAAGAGAAAATTGATAAAATCTATAATGAAAACATACACAACCACAATTTAATAGAAGAGATCAAAACAGAAATTGAAGAGAAACTGATTAAATATGAATCAGAAATCGGAAAGCTATCAAAAGAAGGAACGGATAAAGATGAGTATATCAAACAATTGCAGAGAAGAACAACTGACATCGTTGACGAAGCGTCAGATGCTGAAAAAGATTATGAGATGAAAATCAAACAGTTGCAAACTGTCATAGAAGTCTTGAATAAGGAACTAAGTGAATGTAGGCGCAGAAACGCTGAGCTTCTTGATGAAATACGTATTAGACAACAGAACATGATCTATAAACTTGAGGCATTGACCCAAGAAAATGATGCCCGCCGCAATGAACTGAATGTTATGCAGAACGAGTTGGCGAAAATGGGCCAGAAGGAAAACACTAACAGATATGAGGACTAGTAAAAACGAAATTTATGATAAGCTGTACGAAAAATTAAAAAGTGAATTTTCTGGCATGTTAACCCAGTAAATCAAACCAACGAGGTATCTGTTGACAGTACTGCAGGCAGACAAAGTAATGGACGTAGCAGTCAAAAAAACACCAAAGTACCATATGGCAAAGGTGACGATAGTCGTGGATACGTAAGTAGGACCACGCAAAAAGTGATATTTGGATCAGACGAACCGACTGAAAATAGAGGTCTTAGAGCTGCACCAAGGAGATAATGGTTATATGTCGGGCGTGCAGCACCTGGTACAACTGAACAAGACATCGTATCATTGCTCCAACGTAAGTTTCCTGCTAGATCCTTTGTGGTATCCAAGCTGCCCAGATGGAAGAATGGTTTCACTGACTCTTCCAAGGTAGGAGCCGATTGTGATCTCGCAGATCAGTTTTTCGAAAAAACACGTTGGCCTGCAAGTATTCTTGTGAAAAAATTTAAGTTTTTTCGGAACCAACAAGCTAAACTCGCCTCTCAGAAATCACCCAACTCAATATAGCTCACTCAAGATAGTTCACTTAAATGTATGTAGTATAATGAACAAATACGATGAACTAGAGCATTTCGCAAGCTCTGAATCGGTTGACATATTATGTCTATCTGAAAAATGGCTTAACCCTGGCGCTATTAGTTCTGCTCACATTCCAGGTTATATATTAGCATCACACTTTTGTAGAACTCGGCTTATCAACGGAGGATGCGCGATATTCACTAAACCAGGCATCAAGATTAAACAGCTCTTTTAGGTTGAGGAAAGTTCTGTGGAAGGATACATAGAAAGCTGCGGGATAACTGCTGGTACTGAGAACAACAAGGTGAAATATTCAATCATTTGCGTTTACCGCCCTCCATCTGGAGATATCAATACAGGGTGTCAGCAAAATTGGGGTTTTCCTTTACACGACGTGTAGATCTTGAAAACATAAGCAATTTTTCTTAGTACCATATACACCAATGTCTTAAGGGAACCGAGATAAAGGGCTCTACAACATCAAAAATATAAGAATACCGTCCTGTAGCTGCGACCCGGGACATCACCGATTGGTACAAGGTCTCAACCCGACGGCAGAACTGGGTCGGGGTCAGTGTGTCAGGTCAGTATGCAACCTTCAACCGACGGTTACGGTCACGCGTGTAGAGGTAAACGAACTCATATAATCGATTGCGTTTCAAAAAACAACGAGCACTAGAGATGTGGCTAGAGAAGTGCAAGTATCAAAAACTAAAGTGTGGCAAACGCTGCGTGAAGAGGGGCTGCATCCGTTTCACGTCCAACGTGTACAAGCCCTTCAACCTAACGATTTTCCAGCAAGAGTGCGGTTTTGTGAGTGGTTGTTGCATCAACATGACAATAATCCGGACTTTTTGAAGTGCATATTGGTGACAGACGAATCTACGTTCACGCGTAATGGGGTGAATAACTTTCGCAACACTCATGTTTGGTCATTACGCAACATTTTGCCTTCCTTGTTTGCCTGCGTCTGCTCGGTAGCGCATCAGCTGATTTCATTTTCTGTTGGAGCGGTATTATTTCGGGCAGAGACGTACTTAGCCCTTCTCGTCAACTGGAGAGTGAGTACTTTTTCCTTTATTTTTTTTCACTTGGTCGCCCTCGTTTCACTACACATTACCTTTGTTATTTCAAGGGTAGTTGTTTCTGAAAAGGAAAACCCCAACTTTGCGGATACCCTGTATATCCTTGAAGGTCTAACAGCAATCTAAATACATCAGCAGATACTAGTGAAAAAATTATACTATGTGGCGATCTAAACATCCACAGTTCAAAAACAATTCCTTCTTCTATGTTTTACAAGACATCTTAAGCTCATTCAACCTGCTCAACTGTACTATTGGACTTACACGAATTTCTGTGAACAAAAACAATCAAATCTCGAGCACGTCCATAGATTACATGATAACCAATGTAGACCATATCTTGTAAACTGCACAACCCAAGATCCGCACATCTCCGACCACATGACACAATCTCTGGCTATAAATTCATCCTCCAGCAGCAATAATGCAAACAGCATATACTGTAAGATTAGTGAACGATAGATAGATAGATAGACTTGGAATGTTGACGAGAGCTATGACATAGACACAGCATTCGGAGTTTTCATGGAAACTTTTTTATGGCATCTCGATATAACTCGCCTTCAAAGGACAGTCACATCGTGCCAGAAAAAACTAACCCATGCATGGGTAACAGATGCAGTGAAAAATTCTAGTGAAAAGCTTCGAGG